TTCTTGCATGTGACAAATCAATTCCCTCCAACGGCAATAAAATCCTCGGCTTAATTGTTCAATCGGTTAATTGTTCAAAGCGGGAAATATTATTAGCTCTTTCTTTGCCATACATTGCCTATAGTTTTAGTTCTGAGAATTTGGTAGTGGATCAAATGATAATCCCCTATTTGACATTCACATCACTTGTCTGCTCGATGTTGTATTGATATTGTGTGAAGAAACTATGTCTTGATCACAGTGAAAGGGTTAGAGGTTATTAGAGAATGCCAATAACTCTTGTTTACTTGATTAAACCCCGTAAATCGTTAAAAGATAACGCGTTATTGTAACCTTCGAATCCTCATGCCTCTTCTACAGAGACACGCTTATTGTGTCCCTTATCAACTGTGGTACAAGCCTTTTTGCTGGCTTTGTCATATTCACCATGATGGGTTACATGGCACATGTCCTTCAAACAACTGTTGGAAAAGTCGTCAAAGGAGGTACGTTTTGAGGAGATTGAAATAAAAACGGTTGAAGAGAGTTGACTTTATTTGTCAATGAACGATTCTAGTGCTGTTAAGCAATTTCCTCTGAGTTTATTGATATTTTTATCACCCCAACGGTCAGTGAAACCGTGAACTCTTCGCACCCAAAGTTCATCGTGACTTAAATTCGCTTCACGTTGAGAGGAACTTGGCTACCTGGAATTAGAACAGTAGCCTAAAAGAATGTTTCGGGCTGGAAACCTATGACTCAAATATCAACGTAGTAATGTGAGTCGTTAAAACTGTAGTAGCAAGGTAACGCGTTAACGAACGGAACTGAAAGTGTGCCGCGACTGTCTAAAAAGTGCAAAATTAAAACTGTGACGGAACGCAGGAATGTTTTAAAACTGCAAGATTACTTAATTTTATTTTTTCTCCACTTGTTCATTTTTTTGCTACGCAGGGCCCGGTTTGGCATTCATAGCCTACCCTGAAGGAATCAAGCAGATGCCTGCATCACCTTTCTGGGCCTTTATTTTCTTTTTTATGTTGTTCAATCTTGGACTGGACAGTCAGGTAAGTGTTTCTTGTCATGCATGCTGATCTAGATTTGAATTGTTTAACTATTCCCTGCACCTTTGTCGGTCAGTATTCCGGCAGTTTCCTTGGATAATTTGTGTCTCTCAGTAAACTAAAATCGCTGGTTATTTTATAATCGACTGTCTGTCTGACTGTCTTAGTGACTGGCTCGTTTCTAAACTATGTTCGGGATAAAACTAACCATAGGCATCATTTCTTTTCTTGATCCATAGCAGTGTAATTGGGGTTAAATTTTCAGAGGCCAGGGCATTTTTCAGTGATAGAGTTTTTTTAATGCCTCTCTGTTTCGATTGCAACACAGTTTGTCGGTGTAGAAACGGTCACAACAGTGCTGGCAGACTGGAGACCAGGCTTCCGTCGCTATAAATCTGTCATTACACTGGGTTTCTGTATCGTGTGCTACCTACTCGGACTTGCTCACGTGACTCAGGTAAGCGACGTGATGTGGCTTTTAAACTGGTAACGGTTATGATCTTGGACCAAGTTAAGTGATGGTCGATACACTTGTAGACAAAATTTTCAATGCGGGCGTGCACTGAGACGACCGCCTTCAAGGGGGTCCCCATGGGGAGACTGGGGCGGAAGTGTCTCAAAAGCTTGCCTCAGACTGTTCCTTGAGCCATTTTAGTGTTCTAGGGACCATTTATTATTCATCGCTTTTTTTCTTTTTTTTTTTTTGGGGAGGGGGTTCGGATAATGTTTAGGGATCACTTGGTTTTGGGGGAAAGGGGGTACTATAGAATATAACTGCCAGTGAGGGGCGGGGCGGGGGGTAATCAACATACTACAAAGCCTTGGGGAGGATCAGGTTAATCTCATTGTGATACAAACAAAATCCTCCAGCGCCCTTCTCCCCTCCCCTTAGTAAACGATGACCGGTCCCTGATGCAGAAACAAGAGATATTTCTCACCTCTAAATTTTGAATCAAAACTTTAGACTAGACAGCAAAACCGCCGTTGCTACATAGAAAACGAATGCATTTGGTATTCGAGAATTACTGCCACTGATCTTTTTTGTTTCTTGTTTTAATTTTTTTTTCCAGGGTGGCATGTACGTGTTTCAAATGTTTGATTATCAGGCAGGAGGGATATCCCTTGTGTTGATAGCCTTCATGGAGGCCGTAGGCATAGGATGGTTCTACGGTAAGAGCCGGATGCTTCTCTGCTCACTTCACAGTAGTAGCTATTAAAAGCTTCCACCGCTGGTAATCCCCAATTGCTATCCTCTATTACAACCTCTCGACTTTCTTCAATGAGAAGCTGAGCAAGTCAATTTTTTTAAGGCTTCCGTTGCTTTTGTTGGCTCTAATTACTTGCTCTTTTTTCTAGCTTTTATTGTTTGGGAACACAGACAATTCCACGAGTAGAATTACGAATACGTTCATAATATCACTCGTTTCACAACACTCGCAAATATTTTACGCGTACGGTTAAAGGTAAAGCAAAAAAAATTAAATAAATCGTTACCTTTTCTAAAACTCAAGTTCATTGCTTGTGTATGTTTCCTACAAGTTCTGTGAGGCATTCCAGAATCAAAAAAAAAAAAAACAAATGAAGGTCAGTGAGGGCATTCATGTACCTCAACAGTTGGTTCTCAACAACAACAGCGAAAGAAAACGTGCTTATGCGATCCAGCGGGACTATGTGGCCCACGTGGTAAATCAACTCAACGCTAATGTCCCTAAACATTTGTTTGAATTTTTTGTTTCTTTTTTCTTTTTTGCAATGTAACTTTTCCCTTTTGTTTTCAGGTATCGAGCAATTTTGCACTGATATCGAGAATATGATCGGCCACCGTCCCAACATGTACTTTCGTCTTTGCTGGAAATTCATCTCCCCTCTGATCATCTTCGTAAGCATTTTACATTCGTTACGATTTTTTCAGAGTAACTATGCATTTCAAGTGTGTTGAAAACCGAGTTGGTATGAATGCGTTGAAAACGAATGATTTAAATCGCCATGGCGATCGGGTTGAAGAGAATCCAGTCCTTGTTCAGGCTGAACATATATTTGCGGCCTGCTTGTTTTACTGGGGTTTTGCTGTGACAGGTCTCATCTACTCTTTAAAGGGGTAATATTTATCACATCTTGTTGTTAACACATTTCAGGTCATCTTCGTCTGGTTCTGTGTGGACTGGACAGGCATATCTTACAACGGCAAGCAATATCCCGGATGGGCCGAATTCTTAGGCTGGATGTTGTGTATATCGGCCGTTTTGTGTGTCCCTGGATATGCCTTCTATCGGTGGTGGATACTACCCGAGGGAACTGCTTACGAGGTAAAAATGATGTTTCCATTAAACTTCCCTCTCCCCCTCCTCATCAAAAACATCAATAAATCGGTTAGGGACTCAAGGGTCGTTTCTGGTTATTGTTGTTGTGACTACTGAGCAGATGTTGTTTTTGTTTATGTGTTTGTTGACAGTATTGTTCTTTTTTTTCGCTGCTTGTGTTGTTAGTTCTTCTTATGCCAAGACAGCTTGAATACTGATTTTAAATTTATTGGCTTTTGTCGGTTCAAAAAAATGATAAAAGGTTGTTAAGTCTACTAAATCATTCCAGCCACCCCAAAAATCCCCCTACCAATATGATGCCTGAAAAAAAATTTGTTGCGTTCTTCACAAACTCAGCAACGCAACGTCTTCTTTTTCAGCGTTTCCGCACAATTCTCCAACCTGATCAAGCAGTCATGGACAAGATCGCACGAAGAAACAACATCAAACGAAATAAGTAAGTTTGTTTGACTGACATGAAGAAAAATAAGAAAAGTTTTCAGTCTGCGAGATCATTCCATTTTCTAGTATTTAAAAGAAGGTACATCTCAGTCAATAGAGAGTTCACAGATCGGGAATAACGGCATCCTTAATTTCTTTATTTATTATTTTTTGTATCCATGAAATAATTCATTCATTCATTCATTCATTTATGTTGGTTAATTTCCGAAACCGAGGTGGCTAGTGATAGATATTTCCCGAGCCGCGACGCAGCGATGTAAATTTACACCGTGAGCGCTAACCACCGACACTGAGGTGAATAACTGGAAAAAATTAAGCAACATAAAAAAATATACTAAAACGGTGAGATAAAAAAGCACAAAAGACGATTCTAACTCGTTTATTCCTGCTAAAAATACGATTACAATATTTTCATTCATGATATCTTGTTTTCGGGCGCAAATCCCGTGCACGTTGTTTGGTGGTGAATATCAAAGGTTATTGGGAGTTAAAGTACTCAATCAGAGCGTGCTTTCGTTTGCTATACACTGCTTTAATATATACCAAATGTCTATATCCATTTTACCTTTTCGTTTGTTCAATTTTCTGATTGTTTTCGTTTATATGTGATCTTTTGACTGAGTATTTCCAACTTTGCCTTGCAGGTATACTTACTACCTGTAATACAAGACGGAGCTTTAAACATGGAACTTCAGTTTAATCATATAATCGAGTTACTATTTTACCGCATAATTAATCACTACCTCTTAATACTGCTAGTTCATGCCCTGTATTTCTTTTAATTAAATATATGCCTTTTCTTCAGATTGCCAAAAGTATATTTACATCACAATCGGCCTGAAATTTTGGCTTAAAACTAACACCTAAGGTAAAACCTTAACTAACGCTAAAACCTTAACCTAACGTTAAGGACTTAATTTCTCTTATGATTGGGAGGGTCTAAGGTATGTACCAGTTATTTTGTATCTTTCTTTTAAAAAGCTACCGCAGAAAATTTAAGTTGTGTGAAATAGGAATTAAATAGTGTCTTCCCTGTAACTCTAATCGAGCAGAGCTCAATCCAGCCGAAAGGAAATGGTGGTGGTAATGACCATATGTGCAGTGGGGACAATAATTTCTTCCAAGAAGGTTAATTAAGTTGATATTATTTTATTGGTATTGACGCACGCACGCCTTAATGTATTTTTTTCGAAGCTTTTCTGTAGTTTTTAGGTGTCAGAATTTTTGTTATTCAGCTTTTCTCTATATCGCAAGATTGTGTTCAGTAAGGCTTCAAAGAACCGTTGTAGTCAAGGGCTGAAAAAATGAGATAAGATTAAGTTATAGGATTGCTTAAGCTGGAATGTAAACATTTAAACTTTAGGAACGATTTTCGTGGATAATGTGATTTGGGTCTTGAGTGTTTTTCCCTAAATTCGACGTCACGTTTTGGTTCTTATTTATTAATGAGATGCTTTGTAAAACGTGTTAAAGTTTCACGATTTTTCGATCGATGCTTATTAACTTCATAAGAGGAGAACATCCTGAGAGAGAAGTGTTTACTGAGAGAGACCATTCCATTGCTGGTTCTGAGAATGTAGAGTGGCCACAGAAAATCCCAGCGGTCAAAACTCTCCATTTAGTGCAGAGAATTCAACCCCTTGAATTTAAGAGCGAAAATTCCACTGTTAGGCCCTGGATCGGGTTTGTTTCGCGCTTGAAATTCCAAATTGCCCGAACCTGATAATGATGAAGTCAGCGGTAATATATTTACCAAGTGGCCATTTTGATTTTCAAAACCCAATTTCGTTGACCTCAGTAAAACACAGGCTCATTTTAGGTTGTAGAATAATTATCCGTTTAATAACATCCGCAAGAGTACAGATTTGCACAGTAGGCTCAGTATTACTCTCAGTTACAGCTAATGTAATTTAAAAGCAAATAAAAATGGGATTAGATGGCTTTCATTTTCTAATGCTCCATAATGATAATAGTGACCAAAGGGGTTGGTTCCCAGGCTCACAGCGGACGGAAGTTGAAGTGACAAAGAGACGAAATAAGATTTCTCGTGGACATGACGTTTGCCCATGACAGGAATTTCCTCCTAAACGCCCCATCCCCTAAAAAAAATGATGTTTCGTTTTGTTTTTGATTGAATGTGTGTTTTTCCTAAAACTTGGATGCTTGGATGTTACTGATTTCTCGGTAGAAAGGGTACCATGCAAAGCTGATAGCGGCTTGCTCAAAACCACAGTAACAAAACTCGAACGCGAACTAATACAAATAAAGCGCCTTCGTCTTTAACCAACAAAATATTCAGCGTAACCCTATACAACTTTATGGAAAGTTTAAAGTCGTTTATTGAAAACAAGCATTCGATAATGACAGATAAAACTTCTTCCTCTAACGCCTTCATTTCGAGGCTTTCTACAACAAATTTCAGCTTTATGAAGGCGTACTAACACAGCTTTTTTTTGGCTCAGCCGAGCATGCATGAATACAAAATAGTCACGCGGTCACTATTACTGCTTGCCGTTGAATCCCACTGGTCGCACTTTCATTTCCGCTCGAAACGCAGAGTGCTGAAGGCCACCCCAAGTCTTCCAGTTCACGCCGTTGGCATACGATGTCTGTGGTTCGTGAAAGTAAACGCCGTTCAAATTGGACAATAAGCAGGCGTTGTACCACCATGCTCCCATGTAGAACCGCGCACAGTTTCCCTCGGCGGACTTGTCGTTATCCCTGTCGCGGGTCGTAAATTGCATTCCGTTGTGCCAGGACAAAGAATCACCTGCGGTTCCTATAGAACAAGAGTGATTAACTTCTGGATCTCAAGAAGCTGTCGCTATATTTAAATAGATACTTTCTACTTAACTTTGCAGAGAAAGGTCTGAAGTTAGGTCACAAAACGCTCTCTTTAAAACCTTTCTTACTGTGAGGTGCAAAGTACTCAAATTAAAAAAACTACCAAAAAAAACCTTCCACCAAAAAAAAATCGTCTGGGAAAGTTTCCCATACATAACAAGTCTACGGTTTAGTGATGGAAGCTAACGGATGTGTTTATTATTTTCAATAAATGCGGCATTCTGGTCTGTTTTCTGTTACAGAAAATGACTGTGCTTGCAGCCTAACAATTTCACCGGTTTTTCACTTATTATACTCTAATAGCATATTGTTGAAAGAAAATTAGCATCGAGCAAGAATTCTCATTATAGGTTTTTCTTACTTATTTAAACGTTGAAAATGAATGGAAATAATATATTACCATAAGCCATTCAGTAAAAATTATAATAAGCCAGTTGATCATTTCTTACTCCTTTTGGCGGTCTTATCTTACAGGTACAATTTAGCACGCTCGACACCTCTTCTTCTTAGAGGTGACTTGAGGTGTAAACATGTAGTACCTCATCCTCCGCAATGAATTTATAATCAATTAACTAATACGAATAGCACGTAGCCCTTTTAGGGGCGGTACTTTGGGTACGCCCTTTCTTCTCCGAATTTTCCGTTTATACTGTCTTCGACGATTATTTTCTCTTAAGATATCTTCTCAACTATGATTTTAGTTCTGTTCGTAAGTTTATCATAATTTTTATATTGTCAATCTCGTTTTTGTTTACCCGAACTTGATCGTTAGACTAAGAAATTTAAGGTAGAAAATCATTTGTGAAGCGTAAACATCTCGACGGTACCAACTTAGTATACGAACTCCGCTCTACGTAGCTTAACGTAATTCGCTAGTTAAGGGTAAAAGCATGACGAAAGTTAGAGATTGACAGCTCAGTAAGCGTCACCTTCATTAGCGGTGACCCACACATTCATCGAGAGATCTGAACTAGTCCCGAGGTAATAAGTTGTATATAAGAAAGAGAAGAATAAAGAGACCTTCAACTGAACAACGTGTGTTAGAAAATATCTTCTAACAATATACACATTAATTGAAAGATAAAGCGGATTAAAACAAAGACCAACCTGTGTATGAACCCAGCCCCAAAGTATAGTTCAGCTTTTCATCAGAGACAACAAAATCCTTGTACAAAGCATACGCAGACTGAAGTTGCTTTCCAATTAAATCCACGCGTAGTACCATTCTTCCCTGATGGGTCAGTCGGTGAATGTTTTCCAGTCCCAGCCAATATTCACCTCCAGCAGAGCCAAACCCCTCTTTGTACTCATTCCATTCACGGAAAAAGTTAACCGAACCGTCAAGTCTCTTCTGAAATACTGTCCAGCCACCGCCGTCTGTGGTCTGTCGAAGAAACAAGAAAAAAAAAATGGATTCAGAAACGAACAAATTGCGCACTTCTGCCACGAAGTGCTTCTAGCACTACTGAGTATCATGGCTTTATTAACCGTGTTTCTTGATAACTATAGGGAGTAAAGATGGTTAGGTTCAGAGCGCTAATGACTACACCAATAATATTTGAAAATCTTCCATCTTCGAGATGAAGATGACATCAGTCACTTAATAGAGTTTGAGGCATTCGCGACACAGATTGTGTTCCTCTCAGTCAAATATTTATCGAGCGGTGAGTAAGAAGTACTTTATATGAAGGGGGTCCACTTCTTGCCTGATAGTAATTTCCTTTAATTCATAACTTTTTCTAAACATTGAGGGGTGTTTACACGAGCCCTAGCTAAGACCTCCCCTCCCCTCAGCCACACCCTTGTTGTAGGAAATATGCAATATTTTGTCCTCAAAGCCTTCCCGTCATGTTAGAAAATGATGTTACGAGAGCAAATTGGTATGTCATTTCAGTCTGACATAAGTGGCCAGTGGCTGTATTCGAGAGCTTGTAAAAAATTGATCATACATCCTTCTTTGCTCCTCCTTCCAGCAAAATGCTTCCTTGGTAATATGCCCAAGTTTAAAACCCTGTCAACACCGCTGTCTCCATCATCTCACAGATGAAATCCTGTACTAACCTGATCACAAAAGACTTCCATGGTACCCTCGCCATCAGGGTCAATGGTGTACATACCGCTTTTGTGACGACCAGACTTGTAAACATCAGCACAATCACGAGGAACTAAAGGAAAAGTTATGTAAACGATCCATCTCGAGAGTCTATTCTGTCCTTTAAATTTTGACACTTAGAAGGATATGGGAAGGTTTCTCAAACTAAATATTAGAATCACGCGTGACAGTGAGAAATAAAAACCGCCTTTGGAGGGAAGTTTATACATAATCCACGTTTTTCTGTGGGCGTTTAAGCCTACCTTTAGTATTCGAACTGAACTGATACAAAAAGCAGTGGACATCAAAACAATGGGGCAACAAAGGCAGAAAGAGGAAGACGCAAAAAGTGCGTGACTGACCCTCCTCTCCCTTCACCCATCCTCTGTGTCAAGAGAAGATAATGAAAGGTGCTGACATGTCCTTCCGGCAATAGCACAAAGCAGTTATGGTTGGACCTTCCGATGAAATAATCGTGCCTACACGACCGATAAAAATGACGAGAATGTCGCGAGTGAATTTAAAAGGAGTGAATGCATTTGCGCTGTCTTGGAGTCTTAACGCTTGAAACAGATGGAAAAATAAGTAATCAGTTCTTGTCAGGAGTAAGAACGATTGTATCGTTCTTTTCCTTCGTCTCAGTGGTATCGCTTCAGCGCTGAAGTATTTTACCAACCAATCTTTCACTACTCTAAACAAAGATAGTGTTTTGGGGCTTGTTTTCCTTGCTTACGCGTTGAGCCACAAAGCAGGGGTGTTTCCAGAATGCTTAGTATGTATTTTTTGTGTACACTTCGCGTGCAGTTTTTCCTACCTTGCCTTGATTCTCCGTTGCAGTTTACATTGCTAACTTGTCGGCTTAAAACAGAAATACGCCGCTCCTGTGAATCAATTTTGTCATTTAACATTCCCAGCATTGATATGATGGAGTCGAGTTTGATCTCCAAATCTGCATTAGTCACTGAGGATCTGCGAGAACGGTGTGTCTTTCTCTCATAATGGTCAAAATCTGTTCCTTGGACGATGTTGGTGATGAAAAACCAAAACAAAACGATCAGAACAGAAACCCCTGCCATTCTAAACGTTAGAAAAATGCGACACTGCTAAACTAAGGGACGGCACTGATAATGTGAGATGAAACGCGATATTCAATGTTTCGTCGGGGTCATAGAGGTGACGATGGTCTGATGCAGCCTGGCAAACAATTCCGCTGTTAGGGGATCCCACGGGCACTTAATTCACCCGAGCACAGTTCCCTTGAAATTCTTACCCCTTACTCAAAAAAATTAGCGCAAAAAAGCGCTTTTTATTTAAGGGTTGGGCCATACCAGGACGCAAAGAAACAAAAGAAACTAAGGAGGTTAGGATAACGTTTATTCCTCTATTTAAGTCTACCAATAAACAGTTGTAAACAGAGTTTAATTACAAACGAATTCATTAAATGTTTAAGTTTATTTGATGTTTAATTTAAACACAAAAATAACTTGGGCCTAACGCTTCCCATAAAATTTTCATTTTTGTTTTGTTTTGTTTTGTTTTCCTTATTTTGTTTCAGGAGATAATAATTTATCGATCAACTGATACAAATATTAAATTTGTATTTCATTTCACGTCAGAATGAACTGAAAAACACTCATGATGTAGAAATTTATGATCCCGTTATTCTTGATTGGCAAGAGAGTTTCTATAGGAGCAGTTCTGGTAAATACCATAAAAAGCGCAAGTTAATTCATTTTAAAGTTCGCTCGTGTTATCAGTGGGTTATTTACAGCAAGGTAGAGATAAAATAGCACTGCAGACGTAATAGTGGTCTGCTCTAATCTCCTTTGGGCAATATCTATACAGTTTTTACCATTGCTTTGGCTTTTGTCAAGTCTAGAGCCCATTATTGCCCAGCGAAGCAGCTCAAGACAGAGTCCGCTCATGCAATTCTCCAGAATTCTTGTATCATTCAGGGGAGGAATAACAACTAGCTACCATCTCAATGACTTACGATAAATAGAGATCATAAATATGTAACAATACACCTAAACCTTAGTTATTATACATCAGTAAGAAAGGCGCACCAGTTTATATCGGTTTTGTTCATTGAGATAGGCGCACAAAATCTCCTATTTTTTAGGTTTTGATATTCTTTCGCGTCTTCAGCTCAGATCCTTAATTTCTGGTTGGAGCGATTGTATTTCCATTTTTCGGTTTTGACGGAAATTTTGGCGCTTTTCCGTTTCCTTCATAGTCCACAGTGCTCTCTCTGAGTAGAAGTTACATTTCGCGCCGAATTATCAATATGACGGCTTGCCCTTGTAACTTTCCCGCCATCTCCAGCGCAGGGCGCGCAAGCGTTCCTCTGTCTTTTCAAAATCATGGAAGCCAAAATTGTCGAGGATCTCGTAAACACCAGCAGCTGTTGCAACTTCAGTCATCCACTGACTAAAAGAACGCTGCCATTTGGTTCTCCTCTCCATGTGCAAGTACGTATTAAACAAGATAAGGTAGAAATATCTCTCCAACAAGTTGAGACTCTTTTTTCTCAGCTCCGAAATTTCCTCTCGGTTCTTGCACACGCCATTGCGATACTGCAAAAAATTGAGTTTATGGTGGAGTTCGTAAGGTAGTCGGTAAGGTTTCAAACACGCAGTTTTAGCTTATGATGGACGGAGGTAGGTAAGGTAAAAGTGTCCTGAAAAGGGAGCTTGAATAGCAAAGTATATGAAGTCAGGTCTTTCGATAGGTAGCTGGCCAGGATGAAAATTTGAAGAGAAAGGGGGAGGGCAAGTTAATTGAAAAGCAGATAAATGACCAGCAAGATGGTTGAATATCAGGAAAAACGTTGTTGAGATGCAATACGGTTATTGGTATGTGATTTTAAAATTGGAGGGGTTCAATAGCCCGTGATCTTGTGCATAAATTACTCAACCTTTATTTGAAGATAATAGATTGTGAGGGATTACTAGCACTTTCTTCAACGTCAGTGCTATCTTATCGTGCGTATCTGAGATTACTCCTTGATAAGTGGCAATAAGGAAGGGAAGACTTTCGCACTAAAGGTCAATATAACACTTCCAGGTGACTCACCAAATTAAATGTAGAGAATATAACTTCTCTTGAGTGATAATGCATGGGTGTCATTGTCTCTGAAATTCTATCCAACACATAATCAACTTCACGTTTTCTCTGTGGACCAAAAGGTAGAACTCTCTTAAGGTGACGAATAACCTGAAATAAAATGAACAATACTCGTGTTAGTTACCTGCGTTACCTTGATCACTCGTTACTCTTGTCTCAAAGACTTTCTGCCCACCCCACCCCACCTTACCCCACCCACGTAGCATCAATGCTCCTTTTTAACGTTACAACTTTTAATTCGCGAGAGTTACCCGCATCTAAATTCTCCTTACAGTGTCTCTGTCGCATCACACCTTTAGGTCATGAGAATTTAGGAAACGATCGGCTCTTGACTGTTAAACTAATTCTCCTTAACAGCACCTTAGGAAATTTATAAAGGACAGCGTGGATAATATGCATACTGATGTTCGGATGTAAAGGGCTAACATGCACAGTGCTGTGTCTATGTAAGTAGCAGTTGCTTAGTGATTGTCTAACTTATTATGTTATAGCAAAATAAGCTATGGTAATAGGACTGAGTGAAGTCCAATTTGGTCTATAATCATACGTGTGATAACAAAATCAGACGACCACGCAGCGGGAGTCCGATTTGTTTATCACGAGTATGATAACAGACCGAATTGGACGACACGAAGTTTTCTTACCAATTAATCATAAAAATTACAATTTCTGAGAGAAAAGATATAGGAGTCTGTATGCTGAGGCTATGGTGATTGAAACCAAGGTTGTGATTGATTAATACACTACCACTTTGAATATGATTGGATTTTTTAACTGTCCAACAACAAACTGTCCGATAACAACTTGGGAAGTGGATAGGAGGAAAATAGGAGTTTTTCAAACCAATCACAATCGATAAAATTGTTATTCTTATGATTAATGGGTAATACGCACCGAAAATTCACCCAGTGTGTACTTAGCATTTGGGACACAAGCTGGATCTTGTTCATCCACCTTCGTGCCAACAGGAAAGCCCTTGGAAAGGAAACATTTACAAGACTAAGCTATTTTCTAGCTGTATTTTTCTATCATTGACTTAAGATATTTCATGTTAGGAACTTATGTTAACTATTAAAGCTACTTCACCAAACTAAAAACAATTATGGAGGTTTTTAAGAACCCTTGGTAATTATGTTTTGAGTGGGTATTTGTGACGTGCGTCACTTACTCCAACCTGCATTTCGCCCTGAAAGAGACTACAAACTAAAGAGAAATACGCATTCGAAGTGATAACAGACCAAGAAATAAAAAGGATGGAGCATGCAGAAGATTGATACGCACTCAAATCTCCGCGTATTTGCACAAAGTAGGCTAAATAAACCAAATTGCTCTAACGGTGACGCTTCTTCGTATGATCAAGCATTAGAGAGCTATAAGAATTGAGGTGAAAGATTGCATGCAGTGCAGTGTTATTGAGTAACATAAAAATCTTATTTATACCCTTTTGTTGCAGTAAATCAGTGCTGCTATTGCCATTCCGGTGGTCGTTCGACTTTTGCCAATCTCGCAGTTAAAGACGATAGCAGGGCCATCTTCGTCAGTGTAGATCTCATGCAGGCTGTTCATTATTGTTAAAATTCGATCAAAGTCCTACGTGGAGAAATAAAGAACATAAGCCAACCATCGTCTGTACAAATACGTTTAGTGAGACGTTTTCGAAACGAGGATGACATTTTGCCTTTTGTTGATTATTTTAAAGATACAGACAGAAATAAGGTGAATGGTCTTCAGGGTATTCCTTGCTTGATTTATTTATATTGATTGTTTTTTTGCACTGTTATTATTGTTGTTGCTGCTGTCGTTGTTATTTTTGCCGTGTCTGTTTCTGTAGTCGTTGTCTTTTTTGTTATCGTTTTTGTCACTGCTGTTGTTTTTGCAATTGTTTTTGTTGTTGTTGTTGTTGTTGTTGTTGCTGCTGCTGTCGCTGCTCTTGATGTCATAGCACAGTTGTCGTCCTTGGTGTTTGTTCGACTTTGATCAAGTCACTTTTAGTTGTTGGCGGTGTTAATGGAGCGTATAATCTTTGAATAAGAAGTTACTCAAATATCAACTGCACAGGCAAGATAATACGTATTTTCTTGTATCCGATTCCATAATTCTAAACAACCCAAGGCCTTTATCACTCTACCTTCTCCTCCGGCGCTTTGTCCTCTGACAATGGCATTCTAAAATACAGCATCTGGGGATTCTTTGCCATGCAGAGCTCTGCCGCTTCACGCGCTGTTATGACACTGTGAAAATCTCTCTCCTGGGGAGCATACTGAATGTCAGTGTACACCTGAAAAACATACAACGTATTAACAAGGGCTGACTAAAATAAGTTAGCAATATATCCAATAACAGAAGCAGGTTAGAGCTTGGCTGCGATGATCGGTAAGGAGAGCAAATGCATGGAATTTAAAGGAAAAATGAGAGATTTAAATCTTAGTACGGATATTAGAAAAAATCATCACATGGGTAAATATAGTTCTATCATAATGAAACGCATAGGATGTTTTTCTCAGTCAACTTTTTTTTTACCAGTGTTTTGGTAAGGAAAGCCTATAGACCTTACCAAAACCTGAATAAAATATATTGCTACGCAAAACTAACCTGTGTGTATTGTCTCTTTCCTTTCTTGAGTAGTTCTGACTTCAGTTCGCTCTCCTTTTGCTGTAAATTTTGAAACAGGAGAGATGAGTGAAAAACGATAAGGGAACACAACACAATAACCCAAGAAACAGCTCCTGGTCTAAACTATTAGATTGAGAAGTTTTTCTAACGAGACAGTGAAGGCAAGGCCTCACCTCAATCTCAGAAGTGTCCAGTCCTCTGAAAGGCATATGCTCACACAGACTTGATAACTGAAGTAAAAAAAGTCAATAGCTTAAGGGATTTCTAAAATTCTGACAGCTATTAGAAATTCTTTGTAACCAAGGAGAAATATTCATTGTCATTAGAAAACCAAAGCAAGACGAAACGTGAAGAAAGAGATAAAGGAGTTATTATTTATCTATGTAAGCGCTCTTCAAATCATGTCTTATTCCATGTAAAAACAAGGTTTAAGTTTACTCCTGTTTCGTGCTTTGTGTATCATAGGTGATACAATTGACTCTGAGGACTAGGACTGTGGACTGAATAGACCGTGACAAAATGCAAACTATAAAAGAACACAGATCGCCAACATCAACCCAGTATCAACTGCTATGGCTATGCAACCAGTTACCCCTCCCTTACCCAGCGAAAGTTAGCAAAACAGTTCAAGATAATCAAACTGCTATTGACGGCAAACTGCAACAAGTGTCACTATGGCAAAATGCGTTTCGATTAATTTTATCCTCACCTCTCTTGGACTAAATGTACTTCCATCACAGTCCACGACAAGATCCTCTCTTAGATTTAAGAAAACGACTTTGGGATGAAGACATTTTGGACCCAAAAGATAATGTGCAACATTGTTTAGGCCCTGAAAAGGCAGAGGAACGTGTTACTAAATTAAGCGTCTCAATGTGGTTAACCGCTAGCTGTAAAACGGCTAAAAACTTTAGCCGTTAGCCGTAAAAAAAAGTTAACCGTAACTAAAATTTCTGGTGAAAACAATGGAAAGAAATTAACCGCTAGCCGTAAAAGCCATCACCAATTGAGACCCTCTGAACAGTGATTCGTGCTTCAGTAATATATTTTGTAGTTGCCTCTCTTTATTTTGCTGTTATGAAGCTATTCTTACTTTTGTTGTTTATATTTTTTCGTGTTTTTGTTTTCTGTGTCCGTTTTTGTTCAAGTTGCTCTTTTTGTTGAAGTACCTGTCTTGACGGCTGACACATGCCATAAATAGGGAATCCGTGAACCTTGCGGAAATTCGACACCTAAAAATAAAAGTAACAAAACCATTACCCTCGTTTAAGCGAGTTATTTCGTGTCTCTTTAAAACAAGTAACCACTTGTTCAGAATTAAATACCTCAAACTCCCGCTGAGTGCTTAAAACATCAAGACTGACTTGTTCATCAGCAACCTGAATGCAACGTCAAGATCATACATTAAACACCTGAAATTTTCTACATAAGAAGACCTTGATATTTCTAGAAAGTCACCAAGGTTTAAAAGTATCACATAATAAACTTTGTTTGGCCACTATCATTAAGGTAGCTACCATAAGTTATCACTGCATATCCTTTTAGTTAACACTCAAGTAAAAGTCAATTACCAGACAAGTTTGATTTTGGTATTTAGACGTAAATTCTGACGTCACTCCTTTCTCCATGACGTCAATATGACTCAACATTCTGTAGAGCCAAGGCCTGTGCTGCATCCATTTCCGGAACGTTTGAGCAAACATGAGTGGGAACTAAGCATAAGAGAGAAAACTCGAGTGAGTTTCCATGCCGCAACATGATTAACGCAACAAGCAGACTTGAACATAGAATAACCAACAATGAGAACCAAAGTTCTTTGCTCAATTCATTGTTATCCTACCTGTTTATTTTGGAATTTGTCCCCTCCCTTCTCAGCCCGAATGCAATAGGGCGACAGTATATTCACTTACAGGACCAAAAGGGCAAAATCGTATCCCGCCAGTGCTACAAGCAACTTTACAGTTTGTAGACCATAAGAATTTCAGCCTAAATGTTTCCAACCTTGATTATCCTAAGGCCATCTTAGTTTATCATTGACTCTGCTGTGCAGTTTCCTTTTACAGGACAAATACTATGTGCTCCCCTACATGCGTTAGGTCGTTTTAAACATTTTTGACGTATCTGCATCGAAGAAAGGACGAGTAGCTGGCGAATGAGTCTACTCATCTGTCAGCTACTCGAAACGACAACTTGGTATATTAGGCTTTTATGACCTTTTACAAATGATTTCCACTCATCTCACCTGCTCGTGTAAGTAGGCGTTAAAGAGTATCAAGAAGAAATATCTTTCCAGGGCACTCAGACCTCTTCTTAACCAGTATTCACGTGCACTATGACCCTACGAATAATTTCAGTCTTTTTGTTAAATGAAAACAGAGTACGCTATATCTATGCTAAGGACTATGCTAAGGTAAAACCAGTTTCCATCATTTCGCAATACACATTATCACTGAACCTCTTCTAAGTCAGCTGGGCAATCTTGTAAGGCAATGCCAAAATTTTTGTACAAAACCTCTCTTTTCACTTACCTCAATTTTATAGTCATCCTTTATTTCTTCTAGTTTACATTTACATTCAAAGCTGACAGACCGCAGATTCATGACGTCAGAACATATGTCGATAACTGAATCAACCTAGAGAAATACGCCAATCAGGAGTCAGCTTTATGACGAGAGGCAAAACAATTGACTACTGAAAAAACGCAGTGGAAATGTTGAACTCAGGAATATAAATAAACGAAGCCATTTGAAAGTCTGGGTTGAGAATTTGATCTTAGTCTCTTGGCTTAGGACAGTAGTATATCAGTACCAACGACACAGGCCATTCGGCAATGCCGCCTTCATTTTCTTAGAGGTTTGTCAGTGTCTCTTCCTACAGATATTCAAAAATGGTTCATCTATTTTCTAACTGATCCTTTGCCTAAATTAAGCTCTTGGTGATGTTTAAGGGGAAAATTTTAAGGAAGATCGGTAACAGGTGGGCGGGCCAGCCAACGGAGCCATTTGTATAAGTGTTACGATGCACAACGAAAATAATTGGTTGATTCATTATTTGACGGTTGATCTAACAAGGTAAACTTCTAAACTGAAAACAAACCTCGTGTTTTATCTGTGTTCCATTGGGAAGATTTTTCACTAACTGTTGAATTATTCTGAATTCTCCCTTCTCCAAATTCGGGTTGTTTTCGTCCATAGGCGTTGGAATGGCGCTAGGAAGAAAAACAGTGTAATTTCAACATAGATGACTGAATGTGTTACAGATTCCACTTCATAACTCCATCACAATTTGAACAAGTAAGCGGTCATCACGATATGAAAATCTTAACTGTAATGAAAACAAAAATTGCATTTCCGTTGATGGTTCTAACTCTGGACTGAGAAACAGCTGATTTTGTGGTCCAATCATCTGGATGAGCATAGACGTGACCTGAAAAGGCCTCTTTTCTGTGGTAAAGATTGACCTCTCGATAACACAAGCAAAGATCATCGTCGAAACTAAGTCTGCAGAAATCATAGGTTAGTTCCTTGTATTCCGCGTCTCAGGCCCGGGCTATGACACGCACTGTAATAATGATCGCATTTTATCCTCTTTTGATCTTTATTTCTTTTATTTTCCATTATCTTTTCAAAAACTATACCCGGGATAAGTTCGTTAGTTCCTTGATGAATCTCAGCTGCCGTTAGAGGCGTGTTTAATCAGCCTGAGGAAGGTTACTCTTCCAGCCGATTGTGTAAACCTACACTTTTGTTTGACTCAAACAAATCAAGCCCTAGTCATCATTAAAAATAAAAAGTTTTCTCTGCACACTCACTGTGCTTCAGTTGGGAAGCCAGTCCTATGTGAAGTAATCAGACATCCAATGACCATGCCTGTGGTGGAACGACCTTGGCCCACGTGACAGTTGAACAACATGGCCGGCAGAGGAGCTGAGGAATTCTTGTCGAACAACTGGGGTATGTCCTTAATGGCAGTGATGAACTGGTCAAAATCCTGCTCCTCTGGAGCGTTTGTGGCAGTTATAGGGATCCGAGAATACCTGCACGGTGTCAAAAGGCTTGTTAGATCTCTTACTCTATCCTAATCGCACAAATCCAATTTTGACGAGAAAAAGTCTGATAATTTTATTGGTTTTATAAAAAATTACCACAGTGAGGTTATACAACACACAAAACATTTCACAACCATGAACGAACGAGGATGGTAAGACCAGAGATGGTGATGTCGACTAGACTCAAAGACGACCAACACTCATGTTCATGAACCACCATCATCTGCGTTGTGGACAGAGCAAAATGTGTGGCTGGTCTAAACTAAAGATACTTTGATCATATTTACAAATCAGTATTAGCTATGTTTTTGGCTGGCGCTTCTCCAAGAGCAGAGCTACTTTGTCCGGGACCGGTGCTATGAAGTAGCAAGAATCAGGTGAATAACTAAAGCCTAAATCCTGCCACGCTTCAACCGTGAATTCAGGGTCACCTCTTAATATAGACATGATATCAACGTCAAAAGAATGGATACTTAGCTTCTAATATTGGAGCTGATCAGTCTCCCAATTCACAAATCACTCCTAAATTCATTAACAGTTAACGTAGCATCGAGAATGAATTTTTTGATTTTGCGCCTCCTTCAAGAATTATATAGCCGCTCCTTCCTCCTCATGCAACAAATTCATGAATAACAGACAACTGGATCCCGTACAGCCGCTTTACCTGAGGAGAGGGGTAAGGAAGATTTGTCTGCTGTATATCTCATCCAAAACACACAAATCCTCTTCGTATGCGACGTTGTACGTGTGCGGTTCGTCCTCGAACGTTTCCACGTTATTGTAGAAATAAAATTTACCTCCTTCATCGATTGAAAACCTGATTATCTGGAGAGAAAAAAAGAAGATAAGGAAAGAGGAATCAGCTGTGATAGTTACCATCCGATCGAGGTTGTGGTGTATTGGGGAAAAAAGATAAAAAAGTCGAACCTTAAAATCAAAAAGAAAATATCACTTGAAGATCAAAACGCCAAATATAATATCTGGCTAGAATTTATTTCAGCTGAGAGAATGCTAAGTTATCAGTTGGAGAATGGCTTACCATGCTCAAAGGTTACCTTTGCAGGATGCAGATTGAACTGTCTTGCTAAAAGTAGAAACGCCTAAGAATATGGGATGCGTTTTTAAATTGTCTGTCACGGCGCGGTGGTGCAAGACAACCGCTTTGGGGCCAAGTGCAGGGAGTGGCAAATATTGGGTATGCCGATTGGCTTCATTTTTTTAGCAATTCCACAACTAGGTATTTACAGTGTACCACGTCTAGCACTACCATTTGAATTAACAGAGAACCAAGTCTGCTGTCTTGATTGGCCATTAAGCTTATGATTTTGATCCAAAGCACTGAATTAAAGAACGGCTTGAACCTGAAACGGTTATCAGCTGGTTTGACGCTCTAATCGTTTTAAGGTCGGGGAGACGGTGAGTGGCTTTTAAAACAGTTTAAAAAATACAACCGTCGTTGAGCAACACTTCATCAACGAGTTCAAGTTTTTCACAAACACAGTAAGAGTAATTTACCTCCTCTCTTATTTTGAGCTCTGTCTCTGCCAATTCCTCAGGTTTCACTCCGTGATTAGCGATGTTTCCCTTCAGGCTAGTCGGGTCCCGTGGAGAGTATGGCACAAAGTCGTGATTGAGACCAACGAATATCACTGGCTCCTCTCTCAAGTTAAATGAGACAATTTCCTGTGCAAGTCCGGTAAATGAGATGATAATGACAATGACATTAATAAATAGTCAGGATTGGATTGCAGTCATATCACCGAACTACTACATGACCATTTACAGCTAATGCAATAATCACTACAAAAGAAAAGTCAACGGATACGAAGCCGTGATCAGAAGTGTCAAAGGATCCGCTCCTAAATACATGATATTTTGTCATTTCAGCGTCGAAGAGAATCGACCATTGATAGAATTTAATCTTGAAGTACTCGTTTGCTCGTGGGAAGAAACACCAGGAAAACCAAAATGAAACAAGAAGTAACAAGGATGAAGGATGGAACAGATGGATGAGGCTTGCAAACAGAGAGTTGAATATCGATAGTAGTACGAGATTGCATTGATCCTGCTTTGCCTCGTTGTGTAATTGGTCTGGAAAATTTCAGCAATCCTTTCAACCAATCAAATGCAAAATTAACCGCAACCTGGTCACTCGCGATTTCCCGTGTTGTAAGCAGTTTACCTGTGTAAACTTTAATTTTCCATTGGTTAACTTTGATATTAACCTGTGTTTTGATTGGCCGTTGTGATTACTTGGTGTTTGGACTTTGACACTCAATTGAAAAGTGCTGTAATGCTGAAGTCGTGACGGGGCGAGTCATTTACAAGCGATTGGTTTTCCAATCGTTTATTCGACTAAGTGTCATTTTTACCTTCTGCTTAGTCATTTCAAGTTCTTTCATTATTTTGCGGAAATTACTTTAACACAATAGCTGAAAGAGAGACTGAAAGACAGTTAATGACGAGATAAAGGATTGAGAAGACATTATGGCAATGTATAAAAACGTTCCAGAAGTGCATTTTTTCCAAGTACTTTACAAGAAGCAATTCAAAATGGCGTGAATGTTGAGCATCATAGTTATTAAAACGTTTCCAGCGTTTTTGTTGTTTTGAAAAAGAATGCTTTTACGCTGAGTGATTGCTGATGACAATCAAAGTTTGATAAGGGTCAAACGTAAATAAATAGACCCTTTCAACTTTTTAATTACTGCACCGCAAGATGTGTTACACTATATAATATATTATTGAGGGCTTTGAATTTTCCTCCTATCGAATTATGATGAAAACCAAAAAAAATATATGACACAAGAATTTTTAAACCATATCGACAACTTCAACATTTTTAGAGAATGGACCAGTATTTAGTCTGCGCAAGATAATTGGTCTGGGAATGCTTGTGATCAAAAACTCTTGCGAGATTATGTTAAAACAACGTTTAGTCCAATAGCAAACGATATCAAAACCCTGTGAGTTTCAGTTAAATTTATAAGGATATAGCAAGGATGATTCAAAGCAAATAAAATAGTAACAGTGCCAACAAAGGAACAGAGTCGACAGAGCGGATACTTATTTTAAAAAAAAAGGAAAAGAAATCCTTAAATTTTAATTTTTTTTTTGTTTGTTTGTTCTCTTAAGAAAAAAGTATATCGCCTTATAGCTCCGTACAAATGGTATTTTTTTCTAAGAAGTTACGCATAACATACATACGCATTGTCAAAACAGAGAAAAGATAAGGTGCAATCTCGTTTCCGAGACACCATGGAGCGATAGTTCCTTGCAGCTGGCAGGCGGAAATGAGAAATACGTGCTGCATATTAATGACGTTTATTCGACAGTTCAGTGAGGGAATATAGCGTTGATTAAAGTGTCGAAAAAACCTCAGATTTTTTGTGTTTTTTTTTCCCTTTAATACTTCGTCGGCTACCCCGACTAACTAAAGTGTTTGTACGACTAACATACACCTTAGATTATGTTTACGTGAGGTTTTTCCCATGCTTTAAGCTAAATCAATACGAGTAGCTCTATCAAAGGCTTCAAAATCAATTAAATTTGTCTTACGTAAGAACGTTGCCATGTGAACCTCGGGAAAGTTCCCGTCATAATAACGCGAGCGAATGAAAATAGAATTTTACCAAAGTATTCGTGTTACAACACTTCTTTAATTAAAACGAAAAGCAAAATGACGAAAAATTTTACGCTTAACGTGTTTAGTAACGGGCGAGCCTAAAATACCGAAAGTGATCGAGGGTTTAGTGCGCGATTTACAAAAACCAAGTAGGACAAGTGTGATTTTTGCCGTTTCTATTGACATTTAATAGATTTTTACCGCGCTGCCACTCACTAAAATTACTTTCCCTGACAACGAAATATGCCAAAAGGCAAATATCACTTTTTTTATGCTCACAATAACGAGAAAATATTACAACACGCTGTGCTCTTATTCAGTATCTTAAAGCAAAGATATTTGCCCCATATTCCAAAAATAATTAACTTGGATAAAAATCTTTTCGCATGCATAAAAGGATAAAATTTATCGATCACCTTTCGGACTGGTTACGTGAGGAATTTTAAACGTTACCAAATATGTTTTTTTAAGTAAGGGTAATCGATATGCTTGGTCTTTGCGTCCTCGTGTCACTGAGTCGAACGCAAAACATTAATTCGACATGATTATGTATTGTCTTTATAATTCAAAAGAACGAAGGGAATCCCTACACGAGTTTAGGCTTAAAATGCGTCAGGGAAGTTTTCAATTAATTAAGCAGGACATCGCAAACGTTGGCAACTCTCTAGTTTTCGCGCGGAAATAAAACCAACAACGTACCACTAGCACTCAAAATTGAGCCAACAGCAACAATGCTTCATGAATAATGTTTAAACTCTCACCTTATGTCCATTTTCAACCAGAGTTTGAATAACTTGTGCTAATCCATCTCTGGACGGTTGACCCATTCCGTAGACCGGATAGGGACCCCGACTCTTTCGAAAATTCGGAGCCCCGTACAAGTCCAAAGTCTTGAGCTTGTCGATTCCATCAAAATGATCTTTAATAAGAAAATATTTGTCTTGAATAAGCCCATGAATGGGAAATCCTTCCTTGATAAAGCCCCGCTTCCGAATAAGTGGTGTATTTGTTGGCTCATAACTTAATGTTATGAAGCCATTGGAGTGTTTTTTCGAAATTGAAGACGTTTTCCTCGATAATTTGTCCTCAGCTGATGGTGTGGAGCCCTCCTTGACATTGGGGTTCGAGCCTGTTTGTGATCCTCCGCTGCTAGCTCCAGTGCCCATTTCCCAACATCGGAAGAGACCTTCAAAATTACACACAGAAAATAATTGTCGATCAGTTATGAACGAACATAGAAGTAACTTTCTCTCGAATTCGACAACAGCGGAGAATCGAAACTAACCACTATATACATCCACCAGCCATCATTTGATGCATGTTTTGAAAAGATGATGTTCATTTCTACAGCTCAAATTTGACATCTGTTGTCAAACATTAGCCAATCGCTGCGCCACTTCATGCAAAAAGCCAATAAAATGCTGCAGGTGGTTCGATTGGGGTAAACAGAACAAAATGCACATGGCTACGAATAAGATTAGAGAGCGCTTAGACTTAACGGCTTAAAAGGCATCAAACATGAATTTTCATCAAGAGACGTTTCAATTCTCTCGGCACTTAAGAAGCATTTTTCATCTCTTATTACTGTGACAGTCTGTCAATTCACAAATACTCTGAATGGTTGCCATTGTGTTCTTTTTACTTGCCAGACGAATTTCAACAATCTTACGCGGAGTGCTCGTTTTTTCAAAAAAAGCATCTTACAGTGCTGATAACGAGTAATGGAGGCGTCGTGAGGTTGACGCGACGACCTAAAGTCGCCTGTACGCATTTTTAATAGCGATTTACATAACTTTGAATTTCTACCGTAAATAGTCAGTATATAGGCTACTTGGTGCAATGGCATTAATTTCAGGATGACAAGTTTTGCTTTAATTCCCATTCGAAGTTTGATTAAAGGTTGTAGATCAGTGACACCTAAGCGCCTTAAAATCGCCCTAACATCACTAGCTCTTTAAAAAAAAAATGACGACGATTGCTTCAACAGAAATAAACCGCATCTCTAAGGAAACCTAGAATACCTCGTTTCCCAGTTACCGAAAAAAAGTTTTCTTCTTCTTGATATGGAGTATGTCACCTGAATATTGTTCTTGTTCAAATCATGCTAAAAATTGTCATTTGTCTTTCTTAAAGCGAGATTAATTATTTCCAGGTGTTACGTACGTGGTACTGTAAGATAAGTTTGTGTTATTAAATTTGTTTTTCGGCGCAATGATATGAAAAACCCTCAAATGAAACCTTTAGATAAGGTATTGTACTACGTCTGATTTGCAAGGGGATTTTTTTTGTGGCCAGTGAAGTAGCTTTAAGGTGATATAAAATTTAACCAACAAGGGTTTTACGTACATCTATTCGTCACGAATTTCGCTCCTTTTAATTTCAATTTATCAGTTCCAATGTTGCCTAAGTTACAGCCACCACGGAACTGAATAAACTGTTATAGTCCAGCAAAAAGGTCTGAATTCGGAACGTTTCTCACAATATTTCGATGATTTCCAGAACTTGAAACTACAGTTTAATTCTTATATTTTGTATCGCACCTGTGATCGGTTGAATTCATTACAATTTTTTTAACCCATTGTGATCAATGCTTCAAATCCGGTTTTCCTCGACTATTTTGCCTAAGGAGCTCAGCACCTTAGGCAAACGAGTCGAGGAAAACCTGAACTATTGTATCACTAAAACTGTAAAACTACTACTGTACTACTGAACTACTGTATTACTAAAACCTGTATTACTGAAGTTCGGTAGCACAGATGTTTCTTTCAAAATAATGTCCAATTGTTGTTCGTTAAACAACAAGTGCTGATCTTAAATCGGTGTAGCGATATGTACATGGCCATCTAAATGTTTCTCATTAGGGATTTTCGTTCCTATTTCAGTTTAAAAATGTCCCAAAGAACTTCTTTACGTGAGCACTTCCGAAAATGCGACCTGCGTGATCCACAATCGACTCGAACTTGCGGTTTCTCGATTATACATGGCCGTGAATGCACGGTGGCGAATACACTAATTTTTTTTCATCTCTTTTCCTTTATGAATGTCCATTTGTATCTGTATAAAGACAGATAAACACGACCCACAAATATCACTTAAGAGATCATCCGAGATAAATAATAAGACGTACTATTAAATTTTGTAGACCAATGAAAACGTATTACAACAACTGAAGAGCGGAGAAAAGAATCTTGAATATGCCAGTACGTGCCAAATATTTCAGTCTTAAGTTAATCATTTGAAAGCTTTTTTTTCCTATTATACCTGCTGTTTATATCTAATTTGATGTGAAATCTTCGAAACAAACTGGTAACTGCGCCAGAAAATTACAAATGTAGTAATACTATTGTTAATAATAATAGTAAACTGCCACTCACTCGCCCGTGGGAGTTGAAAATTGTTTATTTTAAGAGCAATTGTTGCCTACACATCAGTTACACTATACACTACGCACTACAATAAGTGTGCAGAACTCTGAAGAACTCAGCACATTGCAAATTTTCGTGTAATTAATTCTCCTATAACAATATATGTGTGATATCAAAAGCGCACAAAAGTATATTGACTAAACACAAAAAATTAAATTTCTAAAAAAAGAAAAATAGAACGTTTGCCATACCAATTAATATCTCTAACATTTTTCGTCGAAACGAACTTGAACAAACGAACGAGTGAACTTTCAAAACTGTTGCTTGTTCGAGAGAGCGCAAATTTCTTCCGACATGCGATTGAAGTGAAGCCATTAATCGGAGCCTTCCGCTTCGCGTTATCAGTGTACACATACTCGCTTTCCGTTTGATTTGAAGAACAAATTCGGTCATTAGCACTTGCTTTCAAGGGCGAATGAGATGTTCGGTCATATTCTGACGCAGAATGAGCTTTGAAATTGAGAAGAACAGGAGATAAAGGGAAACATACAAGGAACAATGTCGAAAACACTTACCTTCCCAATCTTATTTCTTAGGATGAGAACAGAAGTATTTTGAGTGACTTCCTGTTAATTTACATGGCTCCCCTTGAAGTTCGAAAGCACACTCTCGTAAGCAGTGCCGATATACCAGCATAAAAAAATTAAAATCTCTTCAAATCCTCCTGTTTTGTTCTTATTGATGGATAGTGATCACCTGTAAGCGTTGCCTAGGCTTCATGGGATTTCTGTAACCTCAGAGATGACCCCTCGGAATACACGTTTCGTGTAATGTTTCAAAATTTCCCAAATCCAATACTCTCTCCAGCGACAGAAAATACGCAAACCTGATTTGTCAGATAAACGCGTCCACGAGAGAAAACGCGACTTGATGGACAAGAAAGAGACCTATTATTCGAAATGGCACAGCTGTCAAAGCATGATTTTAAGTCTTGACATCTCTGTTTGAACTTAATGATACATGATTTGCATTAAAAAAAAGTACAATTGTCGTTTCATGCAATTACTACTGTCATAACTAGTTGTGGTTTTGTGGTGTGTCGCCTCTAAATTCAATACAAACACAGCACAATAAACGGGATTTCCTACGTATGCGGTATATTACGGAAAACCGTCGGTCTTAGACAATAATGCACACAATTTTTCGTTTTTGTGGGAAGCTGTCGAGCGTGTACTACACATTCTATTGCTTATTTAAATGTAGCATTAGAAATTGGATACTGAATTAAAAATCACAAAGTGTCGTATGTGAGGCAGGGGATGAATATTTTGATTCGTGTAAATTTGCATAAAAAACTGTAATAACGCCTGCATTTCCGAATACGATGCGTTAAGCAGTGTCGTTTGGCCAAACTATGAGAAACGTGCGCCATAAAGTTTTCGATATTTTACCCCTTTGAAATAAGCTCTTCTAATGAAATATTACACAGAAGAAAGATCGGGAAATCAGAATTGAATTAAGGCAAATAAATACACTATAACCCTTCTATATTGGGGGAATAACTTCAGTCGACTGGGGATGTCGAACTATCGCACTAAGTAGCCGCAGTGAGTTCTGATTTCCCTTTGGGAGTGACGATGTGATTTCGCTACCGCTTATTAGCCCAAAACTCAAATAAAACGCTTTCTCCTAACAGTGATCCCCAAGATGTTATGTCAACAGTTCTTTTGCTCAGAAATATTTTGAATAAAGAGAAAATTTAGGGGGTGAATATTGATTCTAAAAGAAAATTCGATCACGACCTTCAACAAATTATTCTAGATGTTGTTTCATTTCCTTCGTCGTTCCGATCGATTCACTTACCCGAAATATCCCGAAGAAGGTGGCTCATGTCTACGATTGTTCTCACACCCCATGAATTAGAAACCCATAGCTTTAATGATGATTCCGTCTCGAGTTTTTGTGAGGTCTGCTTAACAGCTTTTCTATCCAACTAACGTTTACATAACAATGCAAACAAAACCAGCATAATAAATGTCCACCCATCGCGGGCGCTTGTGAAGAAAGAATAATATGAATTTTATGAACTGCTCTCATTTATTTTTCATCTTAAAGGACAGTGAATTATCATTTTGACTTTTTCTATCTTTTTTCATCATTTTTGCCATTTTTTTTTGGCCACGCTCATGAAAATAAATTGTGAATAATTTCTCGGCCCAAATAATATTCCTTAAAAATGTCTTTTTTATACAGCATCAATATTTCCATATTGAGCGCCCAAACAAAATTGTAACAAAGTTTGTGTAGAAGAATAGCGGATTTTTAAACCAATTTCGTTAATATATAAGAAAAAGACTAAATATAACAGAAATAACGAACATTGGAAGTCTAAAAACTAAAACGATGAAGTTTGGCAAGTCCGCTACAAACGCGCCGCTGCTTTGTCAAGAAAATGTCCTCTAAATATTTAAGTCAGTATTCAGTAGAATAAACACTTTGAAGGCTTGTTAGACTAGTCTGCCAGATTAATTAAAATTAACATGTATGATCGATTCAGACAGGTAATAGGCAGTAATTAATTCTGCATCCGGTGAAATATCGACCAAAAAAAAACGCTAATAACGAAATAGAAAAACTCTTCATTCTTCGGTTTTTACTCATTTGTTCATTAATTCATATATTATTTTTGGATGATATTTCTTCTTTTTGGGAATGACTAAGCTGTGTCCATTAACGACGGAATATAAATACTCGTTCACTCTCGCCACTTCTTTCTAGTAGTTTGAATTTCAAGTGTTTAACTCGAAATCTCAAATTAACATGCAAATTTACAAAAGGGAAATAAAAATAGAAAAATTGTTGAAGGAAAAACATTAATAAAGCTTAACATACACTCTCAGCTAAGGAGAATTTTGAGTGCTCGGTTAGGTGAACTATAAAATAACGATACTAAGCATTGTTATGTTCTTTGAAAAGCCTTTGCTTAAGGTGTTGTTTCTATATATAATTCCACTTAGTCATTTACAGTTTATTTTTGCAATAGCGATTATATTTACATAATGTTGCTGTACAAGCGCCTTTGGAGGCAGCCTTTCCTTGATCGGGTAAAAGCATAAATTCTGGAAATCGTTGGAGTTGAAAACCGAGATGAACATTCAAGCTTTATTTGCATCACCTTGGCACTTAAAAAGATCTTAAAAGAAAACTCCAGCTGCCTGCCTGCTAAAATTTTCATCTTTACTAAATGATTAAAAATTAAAGAAGAGAAGAGTAATTTCTTTACCAAACTTTTCTAAATGATTAAAAATTAAAGAAGAGAAGAGTAATTTCTTTACCAAACTTTTCAATTGTTAAGACCAAATGGCGTTAGTAAAGCGCTCTGTCGGGCTTATCAACATAAAAATCAACATCAAAAACAGCCAACACGATCATGATATCGCTTCAATTTTGATCGCCGAGATACTATCTTCATGCTCCTCAGCAACTTTGTGAACATCTGCCTGCGCTGTTTACTGAAAGGTTTTGATGCTTTCATCCATAAAGTCTACTCATATCGAAAGCCGCACCAATTAATCTCTATGTCATACCTGATGGCATGTACTTCTGCCCGACACACCATGATGTGTCTAGTTGAGTTGGCGCCTCATAGGCCTCACAGCATAATGAGGTGACAAAAGAGGTCGAATAAGCATCTTGCAATTAACATCCACACAACTTATTTTGTCTCTTCTACTTATCTTTGTTTTTTTTTCCTTTTCTATAAATATCTAACACGCACATAATATAAAAGATACATGCCCGTCATTGGCTGCAACCTGTTAACTAACTTGTCTACGATCCCACACTCTGGTGAGGAAAGTTATTGATTTTCTAACAAGTCTCTACTGTTTCGGTCTACGGTTTACATGCCATAAAAAAGAAACTCGAAAAACTATTTACCACTATGCAAACACTTTATGTATATTTGTGGTATTTTCTATTGCCGGAAAAATAAAATGATGGCCATGAATGAAATTGTGACGATTCGATCGGCAACGAAAACAAAATGAAAAATACTACTTGGCCGGCCAGCATGTCCCCAAATACAGGCGCCGCGGTTAACACGGCACAACCGCGACAGACTAGCTGGCAGACGAAGTATCATTAATACTCGTGCCTTAGGCGCTGAGCATAGCACTAGTCAGAGCCTGCTCGCGGCCTAGTTCTAAAGCAAGACTCCGTTGATCCGCATCTTTAGGTTTATTACACTTTAAACTTAGCTGTTTAGCTTCTTTCGCCTCTAGAGCACGATTTCGGGAATATCTTTGGCTGTCGCAGACGCCATTGTTGGCCGACTGAATTGGGACGTGAAAAATATTTATTGTCTACCCAATCTGCTGATCTTGAGTTTTAGCCTTCGCAACACATCATCCACCAAGAGAACTCCTCGTTTTGCGTTTCTAAAAAATTTGATCAAACAGCCGACACTCCAACATATAATCTCTGTGATATATTAATAACTACTTATCAACCAAATTTACAATATTCATCCAACAATGCGTTCATTACAAAAGGTTTCATCCAAAAAGACTTTACTAATTTTTACTTTTTTATACAAATGAGGAATCATGCGCCAAACCACGTTACATTACTTAACAAATTTACATGAAAATGTGGCACAAGGAAAACACCTGACTGCGAAAAAAAAAACAAAAACTTATCTTCCTAGTTTAAATTACGCTTTACTTGTTAAGTTGTCATTTCTACACTTCCACTATCAATACAAAATGAGAACAAACGATAAAAGATTAATTATGTTTGCATCGATAACTTGAAGTTTCAAATGGAGCATAACAAAGTTTAGTTTAAACTGTTCCATAAATGTACATATGTTTTTATTAATCGATCTTAATTTCACCTGAATGGAAAACAAGGGTTTTAATATAAGAGTAAAAGGACTTCAAAAGAGAATAGCATTATTCAAGAAAATCAGCATTTTTTACAAAAGAAAAGAATTGCACTGCCAAAAAAGCACACCAGGCTAACACCGTACTCAAATTTCGTCGTCGGAAGAATGCTGGCCTCCAAGAGAAGGCGTGGCGCCGATCGAGAACACTTCCTCAGACAGTTCTTTAATAAGAGCTGTGCTATCCGTATCTGGGAAATCAACCACCGGGTTCATATCTTGATCTACGGCCATAGAGTCCGACCTGTTACTCTCCTTACACTCGAAACTTGTTGGTGACAATCTCGGGAAGGCAGAGTCCATATCTGCTAAAGTCTCTAAGGGATTTCTATTATCCAACTGACTCCCAAATCCCGAGTAGACGCCCGCCGGGGAGTTGTTAATCTCGGACGAAGACTCGCTTGAGCCATCTTCGGAACATTTGCGGGTGTCTTCGTTTTCTCTTGAAGGGTTATCTTCGGTATGGTCCATAGGTTCGCCATTATCACTGTCTTCAGATGAGGACGAAGATGACGACGACGATGAGGAGGAGGAATCTTCGGAATCCGAATTATCAGCTGAGTCGTCGCTGGCTTCGGCGCTCGACTCTTCATCGTTCAGCTTCATTTTCTTCTTGATGATCCCACTTTCGCCCTCTGCACTGTTCAGCTTTCCACTTGTTGTAGTGTCAAAACCAGCTAATTCCTTGTTCGTTTTATCCTCGTTCTTCAACACTCCCGCTTCGTCCGTTACCTTCTCCTCAGTTTTATCCGAGCCGCTGTCGGAAAGCGTATTACTTCGTCGGCGCTTTCTCGGCCGAATAATCGGACCCTCATCATCATCCTCGGAGGCACTTTCGTCTTCATATTCAGCAATGCCGTTTATAACCAATCCATCTTTCGATTTGTCCACATGACTGTCGTTGAGCACGTCTACTTGCCGATCACCAGCGTCCGCCGAGCCATCCTTGTTGTCTGCTCCACCGTTCTTTCCGCCTTCGAGATGTCCGTTTGCAGCTTCGTTCTCTTTATCGACGAGCGCCAGGTTAGTGTGCACCAAGGGAGTCCATCTGAGTGCGTCAGGGTCCAAGGTGATGCGAGCACTCATTCGTAATTTTTCCATGTGAGTGTTGATCAAGCGTTGGTTAACACATAGCACAAACCTGCAGGTCAACAAGATCAACGTTTCAATCATTTAAAATGCTGAGCAACTGAAATTCTGAAGTCAAAGCCTACAAGGAGCTGCGTGATGGTTTGCGCACCATAATAAATTTAACCTTAACCCATTACGTTCGTCTTACACACTGAATCACTATGAATCTTCTTCACTTTAAACCATCCTCACCTTCCCTTGGTTTATCATTGCCTCTTCTATCTCACCGAACTAATATTCTGTGCTCTGCTTCAAGCTGGACGTAATTTGGCACGTCGCAAATAAAAACTCGAGATTTCATCACATTGCCCGATAAGACATAGTTTTTTGCTAATGATAAAAACAGAAGCATTGGGAAGACTTGAATTCGTAAATCTGCCCATGCACGCGTCTCTTCCCACAGATTCACTGTCAAACCAGACCTCACCAGGTTAGTAAACTTACTTTCCATCCTTTTTGTGCACCATGTTAAGTATCTGAAGAGTGGCAGCAATGTCGTGTGGATCCATTCCAGTCGACTTACTGATCCCTGCAAAAGTGAACACAGTTAAGACAGCAACAAAAACCCTAGAAAAGTCAGATGTCAAACATTTGTCCCGAGAACTTCTTATTTCATAATCGGATGCACTCTTCATTAAGCTGCCGAGAACTAGTCGCTCCGATATACGATACACGACAAGTGTCCTATGTAACAGTGCTTCTGGTCGTAGAAACCAGATGAGCGATCTAAACTGGCATCTCGCACTCGCGTTACATGTCGCATTCTTACCGAACCCCAGCCTGGCAAGCTAGATGTGCAACTTGAATGTCCCAAGCAAGTAAACAACTAAGCGATGATGCTGCTTTATGATAGATGCTGCTTTATGAACGAGACACTTCTACAACTCAACATCTTCTGATAATATGGCCTTTAAAACTCATCTTTCAAGGAGTAAGGCTAATTGTGGTTACGAGTGTCGCTTATTATCTTACTGTACAAGTGATGGATTTCGTAGAAAATCATCTTACTTCTTAAAGCATTAAGTAAAGTGTGACGAGAACTTTGTGAATAGGATAGTCGCTTCTTCCACCTGCAAACACAAGAAGAAAACCGCGTGGAGCTCAAGACTAATTCCCTGCTTCACTCACCTCTTATGGTGACATGCTTTTCCTTGTGATCGTGCAAATACTCCAGTAAAACACTTTTCCAGTAGCTACGATAACTGATCAAGCCAAGGTCTGACAATGGCTTCTCAGGGGAGCCCGGCTGGCCTTCGATTCTCGACAAGAGGTAACCTGTGAGGGCAATTTTTATTTTGTTAAAGAAAATCTATATATTTTGGCTGTTTCAAGGGTATATCAAGAACTTCTCTCCTAAGTGAAAAGTCAGCAGAAACACAATTCACTACCTTTTAAAAATAATATCTCGAGGAAAACAGGGAAATTTGGCAAAGATTACGCAATGCTGAACCCTAAAATCTCTGCTTGAATTCTCAATGTCTGCCACATATTTTTAATGACACAATTTTGGATGAGTTCATATTTTCCTCGTATAAACTTTCAGTACCAGTGAACCAGTCATGCAATGAAGTCCATGTATGGTACCGGAAATGAGGATTACATGTAAGTATACTGTTCAATAGAAAAAGACTTCTCCGTCCTTAGCTTGACACCCAACGTCTCGATCCGGGTCTAGCATAAAAAGACACCCAAACTATGACCCAGTAAGAGGAATAAATGCTGCTGTATAACCAATAAATAGGACTTACTAAAGTCAATGAGCAGTCGGCCAAACCCTTGTCTTTGATAGTGGGGCATTGTCATAATACATGACACGTTGTACTTCTGTTGACAAGACTTTTCCTGAGGAAATGAAAATGATTACAGATTAGCCGAGTAAGTCTTTCTGAGCATTAAGTAATGTCATTGTTTTGCGACATTTTTCTCTTTTTATTAAACATGCTACTCATTATGATATCAGGCAGAAATAAAAAAATGTCACAATTAGTTAAGTCTAATCTCACAATTTGGAAAACTGACCTTTGAGAAATATCCCACCAAATGACAGCCCTTTTTGTCGTTCTTCGTTAGGACATAAAACAGGAATGGCTCCACATCATAGTACAGCGTCTTATGATCAAGGAAGAGCTTGGCTAATAGGCAGAGGTTCTGACAATATATCTGTGTGAACGAAACAGAAAGAGTTGACTTGGGAAGGAAACGCTACAGACTGGAGAAAAACCTGATTTCAGTGTTGTATCAAGTCAATAAAATGTTACGAATTTCTATTTATGCCGGAATGCATCCCTGTTTCAATCAAACGAAGCAACTGTTTAATGCTCCATCGTACGAAGCCACCAGGCGAATTGTAAAACCATTCTTGGGTGCAGTAAGACACTATGACATTAATTTCCTTGCCAAAAAAAAGACAAAGCCCTGAACTTTTGATCCAGAATCTTGTACTATTACTTCTTATTCCCAGCACAATTACACAATTGCTTTAACCATGCTAGTTGAGCTCTTTGAAATAAGTGAGCTTTTCAAACTTTAACCACCACATGTACACGCAAATACTAACAGATATCGTTTTAACACGGTCGCGCACATCTACATGGAACGAAGTGTTTTTTTTTTTGGTTTTTTTTTTTTTAACAGCTTCACTGTGTATGACTCGTATACTACTTGTACAATAATACAATACACGATATAAATCGAAAATACAAGATAAAGCAAGTACAATTATTGAGAGAGCTATTTAGGAAAAAAAAGTCGTGAACCCAAAAGGGCTGGTGCTAACGGGACACAGGGATCCATGCGAAGCAACGCCCGTGAGATTAAAAAAAAAAGCAAAAAATAAAATATATTATTCAAGAGAAAAGAAATTAGAAACTACGGGTGACAGGGGCAGGATCGCACAACTGTCCAAGTACAGGAATAATTTACATCAAAAAGTGATGCTGAAAAAGATGAAACGTGCTGACTGATAAAATTCTGAAAGGTTTTTCGGTGCACTCACCTTGTTAACTGCACCATCCACCTCAAACACAGAGATTTCACCTTTGCGGTAAATTTCGTTTGCTGGAGGATGAAACCATTTACATTTTGTCTACAAAAACAAGAAAGTAAAGATTTTTGATCTCACAGTGAAATAGAATAACAACTTGAAAATAATGGTCGTTGCATGCATGTTTTAATTACCATGTGGCGCATAAGAATGCTGGTACTCTTCATGTACTTGAGACAAAACTCACACAGGTATAGTTTGGGAAGCCTGCAAGACAGACAGGAAAATGTCATCATTTGAAAAGAATAAATTTACAAGCCAATATGGCATCTAAATTTAAAGGCAACAATCATCCAGGAATAATATAGTCAATATGGTTGACTTCTGGGGGCGTTAAACCTTTCACTCCCATGATCTCAAAGTATAACAAAATTGACTTCAACAAGTGGATCCACGATGGCAATGAAAGTGGCCCATGCTCTTCAAACATGAAAAAATTACACACATGAAAAACCCCTATGATGATGATGACTAGCAGTTCTCCTCACAGTTTGCCATTCAATTTTTACAATGTTACTTCCGAGAATTTGGTATTGGATCAACTGATAATTCCCTAATTGATATTTTTCTCTATTCTTATCACTTGCCTGCTTGATATTGTATTAATTTTGGTAAGGAGAAATTCTGTTCTGGTCACTCATGGGAGTTAAAGGGTTAACAATTATTACAGGCCCATACCTTTTCAATCTGATACAAATTTTCAGCAAACTATGAAAAAGCTACATGACAAGGGGTATTGATATTTTAACAACTTAATTAAACAGATAGGTATGGCTATTTGTTATGAGCATGAGACAAAGAAGAAATTTCATTTCCCCATTTGGATTCCACACTCAGACCTCTGGATTTTATGGTCCAATCCATCTTCCTCTGATCCATTTATCCAATACCTGATCACATTTCATTTTCAATAAAACTGCACATGTACATGTCAAAAAATGCAAGTCTTGTGTAACTTGCCTCTACCCCTTCCCTCTTCCATCCTGCTATCACATCAAGTGACTGTCCTAAATACATGTATTTCTTTTTTAATGAATGCTGAGAGAACAAAACCAAGTGATCACAACCAGCAGTCAGAGCAAGGAAAAGTAAAGAGAAGCTAATAAATACCCAAACCAAAACCAAGCAAACTGCCTGAAGAATGAAAAAATACAAGTGGACAGCTCATAATTGGTCTCAGTTCTGCATTTGGATTGTTGAGATGGTGGGGCAAGATTTCCAGACCAATCACAGTGTGGAGCAAATAGAAAAAACAATTTGGCAATCCTTTCAACACACAAATGGAAACTGCTCTTTAACAAAGCAGTAAACATACATGCACAGGTTGTAATTCAACAGCAGATACCCACATGTACTAAATTACCTGGCATATTCTTGAGGATATGGTGAAGAATACCAAGTAACAATCTCGTAACGACCAAACTGGATCAGTGGAGGTGAGCGAGTACTTGGCACAAGGGTGGTGGATGTATCAAGGTTCATGGCAGCATTTGCTTTCTCCTGAGCCTGTTTGAACAAGGCCAGATCTTCCTCTGTTACTCCTGCCGATAGACAAATAAAAAACACCGGCAGCATTAATTTTGGTAGACTCTTGAGACACTCGCTATTTACCTTTGAGGCAACACATACACACTTAAAGGTTGCGCACTGAAAAATGCAACCTTCATAAAAGGCACATACTTAAGGTCATTCTCTGACAATACCTTGAATGCATTTTGACACATAACACACATGACAAATTTGATGCAATATGGCCTGTCTACAGAAGCTCACATGTAGAATTCACATATTCTTTTTAAAACCCTTTAACACTCAAGATCTCATTAAAAATTCTCCTTACTGTCTGCCACACAATTCTTACAATGCTATTTCTGAGAATTTGGTACTGGATGAACCAGAAAATCCTCAAACTTGTATTTTTTTTCATTCTCATCACCTGTCTGATTGATATTGTATTGATATTGTAAGGAGAAATTCTGTCTTGGTCACTCATGGGAGTTAAAGGGTTAAAAGCCACAGAGAGCCCCTCCACTACGTCAAATTGTCAATCAAAGTTCAAAGGACCATCACCCAAAATTTCTGAATAGACTGACCTGGTGGTAATTGTTGCTGTTTCCTTGGAGATATAGGGGAGAGCGGAGTCATTGGTGTTGATTTACTGGAGGCTGGAGGTCTACCAGGTCTCCTCTTAGGAGTTTCATCAGCAGCTTTGGCATCATCGTCAAATTTTTTGGACTCATTTGCAATTGGACAAGCTGGAAGACTGCAACACAATAAAATCTAAAAGTAAGTAACCTAACCTATACTTAAACCCTTAAAACCTAAGAGTGATTGGCATCTAATTTCTCCTTACAGCATCAGTGATAAATCACGCATTAAGTCAAGAGAATAAAGAAAAGGATCACCAAATAAAGAAGCTCTTGATAAAAGAGCAGTTCTCCATGTCAGCACCATGAGAAATGTATAGAACACAGTATGGGGAGCATGTATACAGATGTTGGGGTAAAAAGAGTTTTGAATAGAAATGCTTTGGCATCCCTACAAGTATGTGTTTGTTATTGTAAAATTTTACTCAAGCACAGAACTTGAAAAAAAGGGTATAAGTTGAAACTCAAAACACATCCATTACACATGAAGTAAAATATCCATAACAGGCCTTGGTGTTTGATGATTTTGTGAAGAGTGCTACTGGTAGGCAAGCTTTAATGCCATAGGGAGAGGGGAAAATATCAAAATAACATAAGACGTAGATGTCAATTTTGTTTAGAAAGGTCTATGAGGGTTTTGACTTTCTAGGGCATTTGCCACAACAGTTAAACATCACTGCTCTAACCCACACAGTGTACTTGTTCTTACTGTTCCCACTGTCAATACAAATTTATCAACATAACTTATCAAACAAGATGTACCCAGCAATTCATATAATACCTCTTCAGGAAGTGTTCACAAATGCTGTTTATGAACAAACAGACAGAACTATAACTAGTGAGGGGGGGAAGGGGAATGAATGTTCCATTAATGAACTTTGTATGAGCACAGCAACCTGAGGCATTAAAAATAATCTTACATAAACAAAATGAACAACAGTTCTGTTCTATGTACCTTCGGTGAGATGTGAATCGTCCATTAACATGTCCCGACCCATCACATCCAGGTGTTGGGCATACACTTGATCTGTTCAACAAATAGAAACAATTTGCAATCAGCACAGAGAAAGAAAACAATTGGACTCTTTATTTTGCACTTTTATGGGTTAAAATTCTGCTACATGTATTCATCACATTGTCTACTGATGTCAACATAAACATTCCAATGCCTGAGGTAGAGTACAGTATTTAAAAAAAAAACTCAGTAGGTAGCAAATGTGAGTTAGCTCACCCTCAAAGAAAACCCTTTAACTCCCAGATCAAATTTGAAATTCTCCTTAATGTCAACCATGCAATTCATGATGTTAGTTCAGAGAATTTAGTATTGGATCAACTGATTATCCCCAAATTGAAATTTTTCTCAATTCTCATCACTTACCTGTTTAATATTGCATTGATATTGTAAGGAGAAATTCTGTCTTGGTCACTTGTGGGAGTTAAAGGGTTAAAAAGTCTAAGTGCTGGTTTCAAATACTCACCCTTGAACTTCAGCTGTTGCCTGAGGTTGAATTTTTCTGCGCGGTGGACTGGTAATAGGTGTTTCAACTTGTCCTTTCTTTCGTCGGCCAGGAGTTTTCACCTTACATTTTGCACAAACCCAGCTTCCTACAAGCAAAACGAAAACAACTTCCTAGAGTGACATGTAAAAGAACATAACCACTTATTTGGTCTGATTATCTTTATATCTTTATACCAAAAGTTAACTGCCCCACTATGACACATTTAACAGGTAATTTGGATTACTTTTGAACAGAAACAGAAAAATGAATATACCCTATTAGTGATTTAAAGAGTCACTACCTGTGGGGGTTTCTTTCATCGGAGGACTAAGACATTCCATATGAAATCCTTTGTCACATGCATCACAAAACAACAGGTTATCCTGAAATGAGAAAAGAGATTGTCCAGAAAATCAATGAAAGGTACTGGTATATGGTGTATGTTAAAACCAGTGGGATTATATCTAAAATCAATAATTTTGAGACTACTGTGAGACTTTATTAAGGCAAATGTATGTACATGGAGCAAATATTGCTAGGGAAACATAAGAGCATTTTGCTGATCTTTGACAGAATCAACTAATTCTGGGAAATATTAGATCACAAGAAGGCAAAATATGTCATTTAGTACATAGCAAAGTGGCAATTCTTTACCTTACATAGGGTGAGCCAAATGACCTACTAACTGGTTGACTGACTTTGGAGACTGTCACTTACATTACAAGGAAATAATATATAATTCTAGTAAGAGTTCATGTTAGATTATAAGCTCCTGCATCAACATCTGAGAAACTCAGTGAGTACATGTATATCTAGAAAATTATGCTACGCTCACAACTATCTCACTACATTAGTGTGATTACATAATGTACATCTGTGCAAATTAAATTCAGTGATCAACCATAGTTACATTTAAATTCAAAGTAACATTTGAAGGAATAGAATCGATTCTTACAGCATTGCCAGCATCTTGACATACAAAGCACACTTTACACTCGATGCATTGCCAAGGTTCTTGTTTAATTCGAGCTGTCAGCTCAGGAGAGTACTTCAAACATGATGGGTGACCTTGAAACAAAACACAACTCAACTCACATAACTATCAATGATATATTTTGAGTCAACCTTTTACATTTTTCAGTAAAGAATGATAAAAGAAACCAAGTCATCTTGTAGCCCATTCACTCCCATGCTTAAACATGGTGAAAATTGTTTTCTTCATGGAAACTGCTAAAACTGATGTTTGTTGACTTCAAATTTAGCACATTGAAAATACAAGCTGGTGACTTTTTAAAGCCTATTGAAAATTCAGTTTTTCAGTTCTCTGTTTCTGATCTTCATCCGATTAAATCCTGTTGACTAAACTAGTTTTGCTAGTGTGAATGGGGCATACATGTAGGTTTTCCAATGGAGACTTACCACTGTTTCCACAATCTGCACAGGAGATTAGCTCTTCTCCTACACCATCTTTATTGCGTTCTGCTGTTCCAAGGCAAAAGCCACAATATGTGCTGGCATCAACTTTCTTTTTCTTAGGCTGAAAATGCCATGAAATACAGTTTACTCTCACATTTAACAGTGTTTACCTTCAAAAATTCAAGTCATGTTTAAAAAACAATACAGCCATTCGCATGACTTTCATATTTAATACAACTGCTTTTATCGGAGAAAAACCTAAGTTAACTTCATGTACCTTGTTACTTTCAAGAAGAATTCCCAGTATATCAATATCCAATAACTCCTAAATTTGGATATGACTTTATTAATTATACAAGGATTATTGTATTACATGTAATTACTATTCCACAGCTACATCATTTTAACAAATAAGGTCATGAGAATGCCCAAAACTGTAGAACAGGGCAAAAATACAAACAGAAAGCAAAGCAAAAAAATGGCTCCACTGAAAAATCTAAACTTTCGTTTTATTCACTTTTTTATGCTTGACTATCAAAGCAATGAACTTTTGAGCATATATAGAATTCTTGGGTAGTCTAGTTAATGTTGTTTTTGTATTTTCATGCAGACCTTATGCACGTAATACTATGCTCAGATAGACTGTACATGTAGGATGTAATTTGAAAACTACATGTAAAAGCCAAATGACTAGAAAAAATGAAATAGTAGTGGAATAATAAATCTCTTATTCAATGGCTTAAAATAAAATAAGAGTGGACATTTTGCTCATTGTGCGAACTCATTATAACACAACAAGCAAAATATCCACATGCATTACATGTATATGTTAAACCATTAAATAAGGTGTAAATATTGCATTCACTACAGATTTTCAAACAACTGTATATGTCCACTCTTCTTAAAGCTGATAGAAACTTTCACACTATACATTTTCCCATGTGTTTTCACAAACAAACATTCAAAAGCTGAATAAACATATGCATAAAAGTCACTCATTTTTAATAACAAAGTAAACCATAAACTCTCTTTTGCGAAAATAATTCTCTTCACTTTCTAATAGCTATTTATATTTTGATTTGAAACTTTTTTTAATTATCACTTCATCGTTTGCAAGTACAATCCAACAAATCATACAAAAAGATTTGAAGTTTTCATGCTGTCTTTTTTTTAAATATACAAATGTTCAAAACACACAAGATTATAGTTTGTCTATACCTTAGGTGGTGTTGCTAGCCTGTAATATCTGCCTTCCTTGATGAAAACTCCAGAAGCAAGTCCTTTCTTGAGAGACTCTTTAATCCGAGCATTACCAGTGGATTCTAAACTTGCAGCATGATGGTCCACTATATAATTATGAATCGCTTGTTGCGTGCAACCATTTTCATCCCCAATATTCTCAAGAGCTTCTTTGATGAACCCTTGGAGATCGGTGGGTTTTTCAACAATACCTCGCATGTGAGCTGGTACTTTTGCAGGGTCTTTGTATGATGCTTTGTTTTTAAAAACTACCTTCAGAACTCTCCCTGTCTTTACACACAGTTCTAGCTGTTCCAAGGCCTCTTGTTGTTCTAAGCCATAAACATTTTCCAGAATGTGAGCAATTCTGTCTTCACTTGGACGTTGCTTTTGTCCCTTAACTTTACCAATAGCAGCAATTATCCAAAGAGCATATTTTGGATCTGGCTGGCGGTCACTGTCCTTCTCCTTCTCCTTTTCCTTGTCTTTACCAACACTGCTTCTACCCCGAGCCATCTTTGATCTACACTTTCCACAAGCAGATCAACTCTGTAAGACAAAAGAAAGACAAAATACCTTTTGAGAACACTTTTCCCAAATTTGCAAGGTTAGGAAACATACAAAAGACACAACAGTTTCCTGTCGATTGAAATAGCAACTTTGATTACCACAAATGATCTGAGCATAATCTACTTCTATTCAGAGTATTAAATGATACATAACAGTACTTTTTGATAATGTTTAGAACTACAAATACTCTCCAAGAGAAAGATGAAATCCATTGAGATTTTATCACGTATCTGCCACAGTTCACATAATTCTATCTTGAACTGAACAAATATCAAGGGTTCAAAAACAAAAAAAAGACAAAACAAAGAAAGTTAATAAAAAAACAACATATATAAAGTGAAAAAACCATAATTTTCAAACAAAAGACACAGAGTTTAGTTATAAAATTTAGACCAAACACTGACCCTCAACCATCTCTTGATCCAAACAAACTACCTTTGGCCAAGACGAGTTCACATTGAATATGAAGTTTCAATGCAGATTGTACTCACCACATATTCCTCCTAACTGTTATTTCATAAGTACAATTTAGACATTTAACATTTCCACCAACATGACATGATCAATGGTGAAAAATGATATCTACTTAGTTGTACGTAAGGATAATTAGTTCAATAAAACTAACTAAAAATTTCTTTGCTCTCAACCAAGATTCCACACACCTAATTTTCACATTTATAACAATATTTGTTAGTGATCATAATCTCATAATCCATTTGGCCAAATGTCTCCAGGAAAAGCTTTGAATGCAAATGTAACAGCTGCCACTAAACATGACAATATAATTGATCATTCATCTGTTCCCATACAAAACTTCACATGTTTAAAAAACAACAATATTTCAATCTACTTGCCATATTTAGTTCTTAAATTTGCATAATATTCAATTGAAGAAAAAAACCAAATGCACTCTCAAAATAATTGTGACATGTCCTCCCACACCACAAAACTTTCCCAACAAATTTACAATTTGGACTTGCAGGTCTGCTTGAGCAATACAAGCACTATTTCAGACATAACAACCTCAAAATTTATTTCAACAGGAAAGAAGCAACTTTGCGTAACTCAGTAAGAGTGTATAATTACTAGCTTTGTTAGATCCTTCCCTAATTGAATAAAATTTAAATGTCTGCTGGAAAAAAAAACATTACAAACAAAACATGTATTAAATTAACTTTGTAAACTTAATTTATCTACACTGAGGAAAGTTTCCAAATCATATGTATCAGAGTTCTTCAACATGAAGTTTCATCTACTTTACTTAATACACCAACAATTTAAAACTAGGAGATAAAACAAGATGAACAAAAATATTGTGCAGATCACGTACGTGTTTGAGGAGTGATAACATTCTACAATTCACTTATCTTTCCTGATCATTCAACTGTGCCCTAACAGAAGGTGGTGCCATATTAGAGGGAATAAATCTTTTTTAGAAAAGGTACATGTGGCTCATTGTGATGTGTTTGTTTTAAACAATGCAGTGGACATGTGACTCCGTAGATTATTCGCCGGTGTCCTCAAAAACATAATGCAAACCACTCGATAAGAGCAAGGGAAAGTTTCAGACATACGAGTGTTTTATAATAAAAGAGAACCTTATTTGATGAGATTGTAAAGAGAGGGATCGATCCCCCATATGGCGAAAAATAAACGTTTCGCAAACGTTAAATAATAACTCCGAACATGAAATAATATGCATAATAAAACTACCCTAAAAACATTTCAACATCGAATCATCCGGTGGAGGCTGTTATTAACTGTAAATTCTCTACCAACGAGAAACAACATTGATTTTCGAGATGTTAGTGTGTATCGCCCTACAAAGAGGCAAAAAGAAATTTTTGAATCATCGCAAAAGTCTAAGATTATTTTTAAAATATCTAGCTTGTTATGTCAACTTGCATGGTCAGGTAACATTGTGAAATCCCAAACACAAGTCAAGCGTCTCTGTTGGATCTTGAGAAAGTTTTTAAAGATCGTGCCACCAAATAGCACCCCGTGACTTAGGATTGAATAAGTTAGGCTAAAGACGTTATATTATTTAAGATTGTAGAGTATAAAACAGCTCGTCTAACCGGTTAAATGAATAAACTTCAAAATTGATCTCAATATCACATCATTATGTTACCTCAATACGATACTCGTATGACCACTGTAAGCTAGTCCTATGGTTTCGAGGCCGTTAAAATTCCCTTCGATGTCTTTCAGTTTCTATCATTTCTCGCCATGCGAGATAAAACACTGAAGAAATCGCTAGCAAGAAGGCCAGTGGGCGAACTGAAACTTCACAATGGCCACGTGAAAAGACAATTGGGGGAGATTTTGCATATCGCATGTGTTTATCTATCATTGGAAGAGAAACACATGTTATACATGAACTTATGAATACTAACCTCCAGTCTCGAGGAAATATAATTCAAATTAATTCCAAGGGCTATCTATACCAACGTTCCATCGATCACCTCCAAGTTTTGCTGTACAAAGCAAAATCTCCTAACAAGTAACGACATATCCACCGTACACAACGAATTGACGCCATCTTGCATAATTATACAAGGTGTTATGTGATTGGATAAAAGGAAATAAATTATTTAGCCGGGTTCTGATCTTCTACAAGAAAATCGAGCAGACTATTTTTAGTCGTTACCGAGTTGTTCCTTCGTAATATAACATAGTTTTAATTATAACTGCGATTTTTTTGTCAGTAAAAATAAATAAAAAAAACAAAACAAAACAAAAAAATACAGCGGAACTTGCAGCTGTTGAAAGAACCGTATCCTTCAGTAACGCTTATTATTTTTTATATTCGGGTTTTGGTTGAAATTTTCAACTAAGTAATATATAAATATAAAATAAGCTGTTTAATTCAGTATTATTAAAAAAAGACGATGGCAGTTTTAATATTCATATTACTGAAAAGACGACCACTGCTCTCTTTCTTTAGCTCTCATAGCTTGTTCCAGGCTATCGTTCTCGTGGCCTGTTCCAGTCTACGAGAGCGATAGAGGCGGCGACAGAAGCGCCATAGAAGCGCGATAGATGCGCGATAGAAGCGGCGGAGTGAAAAAGCGAGGTAGGTTTTTGGCGCCGCAGTCACGGTTCCCCAAATTAATAAGAATGTCGCAGATCTACTCACCAGACCATCAAACTACCGAAAAATTTTGATATTTTTAGGGTACTCACATTGAAGAGGTCTTAACAGAAAATAAGTATCAATTTTTCTGCTCTCCTCAATAGGTGGTCACTCTAAAGCTCCTCCACTCAAACTCGAGAAAAACAGCACCACTGAGCAAGGATATTTGTCTTTGAAATATGTTTCAAGTACAATCGTAGCCTGTGGACAGGCTCTCTATCTAGATAGGGCAAAGAGGAAACAGGAAAGAAAGAAGAGAGAGAGGAGTGGGTAAGGGTAAAGAGGAGGGAAGAGAAAAGGAGGCCGCTCTCGATTATTTCCACTTCTACCACCCCCTCCCCCAGCAGCCCTTTCCCGCCACAGTTTCAGTCCAGGCGAATTCTTCCTCGGCCTTTGCATCTGAAGCCTGTTCGTAAAATTATTTTCTCGTTGCTTTATCACTTACACTTTCATGCTTTCTGTATAGCCTTAGCCGGTGCTAAAGACGGCGAGGATCTGAATAACCTCCCGTCATTTATTCATTCTCTCTAAAATTTGGTCTCAGGTCGAACATGGGACCAAACCCCAGCCCCTCTCCTCGTCAATAACTTAAAGCTATAAAGCTTGATACGGGTTCGATGGGCCTGGGGCTCGAAATGGCCAAGACCCATGCTTAATGCTCTATAACACTGATATTGATCTAATTCAAATTTTTTTCCCACTTTTATTTATTTGTTCATCAAAATTGTGTCGTCTTCTAGGTAGGAATCTGGGTGCGAAGTTCTGGCGGGTTTTCTATAGATTTCTGAGAAGATTTTGTCAGAAACCGTAACCGTTTCAGTTGGGTCTATTACCAGCCTAAATAACTACTAAGAAATTAATGGAACAATAGAAACAGGTCAAAAGAAAGTAATCGAGCTGATGACGGGGGGCTGCCTATTTGAGGGGAGCGCGTGTTTGACATTATGACCCTACAAGATGAGCGCTTACTCGGGGGAGGGCGTTTATTAGAGCGTGGGCGTTTATTCGAGGAAATGCGGTAACTCGTTGATTAAATGTCGATTAAATGCCCTCCTCCTCCACTCCCCTCCGTGATAATCACACCACGGGACTTTTTTTACAGTGTCTAGTTCAATTGTAAAACAAAATAAAATTGCAGGATCTTTTGAAGTGATTTGAACTTTTTGAAATTCAATTCGAATTTGTCTTTTGCGCTTTAACTTGTTTTTAAAGTTTACTTAGGATATTGTACTACACCTTTTGAATAGGCAGGTGTTTCAAAAAATTGCCGTTGTCATCAAAACAAGAAGTAGAATGATTGCTCATGTTTATTTTAAAATGCCAAAAACGCACAAGCTTGATATCATAGGAAGTGCTTTGTATTCGATATTCGCTTTTATGAATATAGGTGTGGGAAACCTAAATTAGAAATAGAAATTGAGACATTGGTCTTTGGTATATCGATTTTTTGTGTGAACGGATGTAACCAACTTAATGTACAGGCCAATATCGATTCATTTTAAAGTATAATCTACTCTTTTTCCGCAGGTGCTTTTGATTAGGAAGCTAACTAATTATTTTCAGTCTTGACACTTTTGACCTAATACCACTCTTGGCATTTCTTCCTGGAATTTCTAGGCTATTGATTCAGCACCATGAATTGGGTGTCTTTGCTATTCTCGTAATGAAGCCACGCCAGACTTGTTTGAAGCTGGTAATGCTTTTATTGTGGCTATTGTTTGTCCATAACTTATTCCAGTAGTGTACCTTGAATACTGAGTAGTTTTCAATTAATTTATGAAAATAGGCCACCTACTTCCATATATCAACTGGAAACTAAGTTTTTGGAGAAGAAGAACCTACCCTGTTTCTACAGGTACGTACTTCTTCTCCGAAAACGAACTATTTGCTCTTTTTGTAGATTGTTAATGCCCAATTGCCTATAACGACTTATAACCTGTACTATTGTAAACGTTCTATTGTTTAAACTTGAGCTTTTTTTCGATAAAATTGTGCCTTGTCGTTTTTGTATTGTTTATTTTGGTTTATTTAGGCCATGCACACTACAAACGGCAGCGAAATTTTTAAAAGAAAAATATTTTGATAATGTTTACTTGGTAGAAGGAACATATGCTAATCGTCTTCATGTACGTGAGCAGTTTGGTTACAATATACTGCGCAAAGAATGACGGGAGCATAAACTAATGATTGGTGATACTTTGATGGCTATGAATGACTGTCAATCTCCTGTCAGAACTTGAGCAACAACCTCGTTTGCGGTTGAGTTACTGAATTGAAACTGACAGGTTGAAACATTAACTGTCCACACCAGAATGAATATTGTAGCTTTTCATCATTAAAGTAGTAGATCTGGTCCCCTCCAACATATTTTGGAAAATAATTGATAAACTACGAAGGCCTTGATCGGCCGTAAACAAATCGTTTATTGTTCCGCTGAACTCATGGAGAAATTGGCGATTATTTTATACTCAAAAAAATAATTTGTAAATCGCAAGCCAGAGGTGAGGGATTTACAAACTTTTCAAGTGTTCTTCCAACATCCTCAATGGGTTATTACGCCGGTAAACTGATGGAAAATGGGGTCTATTTCTTAAACAAATCAATGAGCTGTAATATTTACTTTTAAACTTAAAAGATTAAAACGATGTGCACATAACAGGAGGTTAAAATAACATATGAAAAGAGAAGGCTGGTCTCAAACGTGTACAAACCCCAGGGTAATTAAGTATTATCAACTGAGTTGATAACGTAAATTGGCCACCATAAAGAGTTCCAAAGCTGACGTTTCGAGCGTTAGCCCTTCGTCAAAGCGAAAGACTAAGGGCTAACGATCGCAATGTCAGCTTTGAAAGTCTTTACGGTGGCCAATTTACGCTATCAACTCAATTGACAACACTAAATTACCCTGTTATACTCTCCCACCGACGCAGCAGCAAAGTTTCTTTAAAAACTTATCCCATGTGTACAAACCCAAGTTGAGCCTCGCTTTCCAACAGAGTAATATGCTGCGATCAAATCACGTACTGTTACGATGTCCCTTTTTTTCAGCTGGCTCTACGTGATAAGAGGAACACTGATTTTTCCGGGACGTTGAAAAAAAAAAAAAAAGTTTATGCATCAAAGTCAACCACAAAGGCACGTTCCGTAACAGGTACCTTTACCTAAGAGAAGTACCGGGTTACATTCCTTTGCGTACTTGACCAACTCAGGAAAAAAAGAATAGAAAGATACATCTTCCCTTGTGACTGATTCATGCACCTTTTTGGCAAAAGGCCCTTCGTTTAAACAAGAAGTTCCCGCCCGGTCACGCGTTGTAATTAACGGGACACTCATGACTTTGAACAAGGAAACAGACACAATTGACTTGAATAACTGATGAGTCAGCATGTGTTGGTGCCACTTGTTTAATGTCAACAAATGCCACGTTTTCCCAAGTTGTGACAGCACATCACTACCCATCACGTTCAATTAAGTTGTAAAACCACACATTGAACAGGTGCCCATATAGTTCTAAGAGGCTGATTGTTTCTTATTCACCGGTTGGAGGACAGCCAAAACGGGCAAAGTGGGTCCCCCACGTCACGGATGTGTCGGATGTATGTCACTTCGACTCTGGGTTTAGCGCTTCGGTTTGTAGACAGCTTTCTTTCTGACACATAAAACAATCGTGACAATCAGTAATATTAATATTAAAAGAAATTTTTTGTCCGAGGTATTAAAAAGCATTTCCAGACAAACCTTTCAATGACTATAGCCTAACTTTCATTTCCTTTTTTTTTTTAACTATTTCACTGAGAAGTAATACTATTTAGTGCCCTTTCAAAGGCCTCCTCTCTCTTTACGATGATATTTGTGTATTCAAACAGGCGCCTCGATCAGGATCCACGGAGTGCTGTGCCAGGGATGGGTGGCAATGGCACTGAAAGATCGCGATAGATTAAAAGTATCATTCTTTTCATAAATTTGATTCAATTTATTTGAAAATTTTATTTTTTATAATTCATTCTTGGAATAGTTGTGAGTTCTTTACGAATGAATTGAGAAGAAGTATAATTCAGAGAAGATTGGGGTCAGCGACTTAGAGTCAAGGCCCGACAGTTGAGAATGATCTTTATCTTATCTCATAGAATCAAAACAGAACCAATTTATTTTCCACTAAGGCTGGTGGATAAGTTTGCTCGCTCCTTAAGAAATTATGGCCAGGTGGCCAGAGATGGAAATTTTGTTGAAGAAGTAAGCTAGAAGGAGACAAGGGAACTCCTCAGAACTTTGTTAAGAGAGGCCCTCTCTCTGCAAATTGAAGCCCTTGCTTTCTTACTTTTTATCGGAGTCCACCTTTGTTGAGGTTAGCAAAGAGTTTATACGTGATGCGTGATTAAGCTTTGAATTCTATAGAAAGGCAAGCGTGATTCATGAATTTTTGAACCAGTGTGAGGCGTGACTTGCCTTATGATATTTACGTGACCCGACTATTCGCAAAGCGCTCTGCAAAGATAAATTCTTGCAGAACATAAAATTCTCAAAAAATGAAATGTAAATCTCCGCCAGAAAATTGTTTGTATTCATTAAATCTGAACTTAGTTAAACTATCCATAATCCAATGACTATCAGAAAATCGCAGAAGTTACTTCATTTAATTAAAAAATTGCGGTCATCTTCCAAAAATTTGGTCGATGATTAGTCAAATAAGACTACCACAGATTTTGAACCCCTTCGATGTTTGGACTTCTTAGACCTCAAAATTACCATAATTAGTTTAAGGTGTTTACTGGCCATAACCACCCCAAATTAAAACTACTTTGCCTTACTATTTGCAGAGAACGAAAAAAATAATTTTATAAACACGCTTCTCGAGAAAGGGACTTTCCCTCAAGGTCTTTACCCTTCAGGGACCGGAACGTAATACAAAATGCTTCTTGTGGAGCGGAGGTACTGAATTGTACCACACCAGCAAAATTAGTTTGTGTGTTTATGACATAACTTGTTTGTAAATTATCAATGTTTGTGATACGTTTTCTCAAGGAATGTAGGCAAACAACTCAGAACCATTGTCAAACCTTCTTAAACTAAAACTGAAAATCGTGAGTACGCGGGATTGCTTTGACACTGGAAAGGAAGTAAACATTAATTGTACAAGGTCTTTCCCTGAAATCATTTTCTATTACAAACAAGGTCAGAATCCGTGATCTGTATTGGCCTGCGTAAAAAAGAGTACCGGAAATTCTTATCTTATGACTCAATGCTCTGTTAAGTTCGCGTGAGGCGGCGGTTTAGTGTTTAATGTTAATTGCATCTGCTGAGTGAAAATCATTAGCTCTCAGACTGTGAGTAAGGAAAGAGTTCTGACGTAAATTGAACAATTGCGGAGTATTTCACAGCAATATCTTAGGTGTTAGCATTGCAAGTCATTCCTTTTTAAGAGAAGGTTTATGCGAAAGTCTGGCGAGCTGATCGCAGAGGTGAGTAATCAAGCAATTTCGTACAACTTATGCTTCATCAGTTATGTCAGATTGTTTGATCCCGTTGTTTGCTCAGCGCATAATTCAAAGCCGTGTCATCTAATGCTTTCCAAAAAAATCTTTGACCACTATCATGACTGGATTAATTCAATGGTGTGTTGAATGGAAAACTAGGTTAAGCCTCACTTGCAAAACGTTTTAAGTTCTCGACCAAGATAGTTCAATCAACCAAGGAAATGGTTAATGCAATCGCATTTTCATCAAGAGTAACAACTCAGTAAAAGTTAACCTAATAAAAATGTAACCTTCACCGAGTTCAAGTACGTAAATCGGAAAATATAAAGAGTACAATACAAAACTAAAAAGTTTTATATAACAAAAGCGTTGTATATCTCAAAAAAATCAGCATTATCGTCCTATAAATTTGAAGTTAGTACAGAAAATAGGGGTCGAAGGAAAAACCGAGAGGCTATATACTTTTCGGCCAGCAATGTCAGGAACGCTTTTTACGCACAGTTTTGTTGAAGATGGTTTTGATATTAACATGAAGGCAAAGTCTAAATCAAAGTCGGCTGAAACTATTCTTTAATATCAAAAATAACAGGTAAATACACCTTAATACGAAATTAATTAATTGAGATAAACATACTTTAATTACTGTCATAGCAACTAAACATTTTTGTCATCAATTTATCACCATTCAAAATACTGGAAGCATTCCAATGCAGTATTCCCCGGATTTGCTATTCAATTGCATTGGTCGATTCGATTTCAGCCGCTTCGCAAACAAATTAAAATGATCGGTTTTAATTCCTTCGGAGAAAAATATTCTAAAAAAAACACAGTGATAATAATGAGATGTCCCCTACAAAGAGTTCAGAGTGCAACTTCTGCGAATGAACAGCATATTTTCAGCAAGGCCGGAACAAAATTACAAGACATGATCGACAACATCATAGAGTTCCTCTAAAGCTCAAGATGACAGGCCAGAGTATGCTAAGCTTAAACTATTTCCGTAACACGGCTCCGTCTGGTATTGAAGTCATACAGTTCGAATCTAGTGACCGTTTCCGCGTTTACAGGTTAGGGAATTGTTTTGGGGAAACAAGCAATAGTTGAAACCGATTACACATCTCGCTTTCAGATTGATGGGTAAAGCGTCCCTTTTATGAATGAGGTAAATGATGCAATATCGAGACTTTAAGACAAAATCAGTTGAAGTGCGCGAAAGCAATTCTGTTCCAGGCTAAAAGATATGCACGCACTTGAGATTTGGTGTATGGACGTAGGAGTAAATACCATGACATTAATCAATGAACATTATAATCAAAACGTCAAGGCAGAAACAGAAAACGAAATTATGGTGTCCATAGATGAAAAATTACTCATCATGGAATGAAGGGTATGAAGGTATGAATCTCGATACAATTAAAGTCCCTCAGCAGGTCTGCATAGCTTCTCGACTCCAACGATATTAAGGTCTGATATCAAAGCTATAATTAAGATAAGATGGGATTTCTCGAATCGTTGAGATTTTTTAACCTTCATGCTGACGTATGCATTATTGTATCGGTCATCAAGTTGACAGTATAACGCAGACGATGATTCTAGCAAAAATTTTATCATGCTTTTTTGTTATAATAAACGGAAATACTCTCATAGAACATCGATTGTTTGTTACATATCTATTTTGACCAAGCGAAAAAGAAAAACTCTCTCGTTTTCGTAGATCCTGGCTCGTGTCACCTTTAAGTCAGTCGCGTGCCCTACATTTGACACTGCATGTGTGGGGTTCGACAAACAATCTTCTTCATGCAAATTACAATCTTTTTGTAACTGTTTCTACATTAGAAGGTTCAATACAGCTTTCCGATCCGGAACTAATTCATAAACAGAGAAAAGAAAAAAACGGAAAAACCGCTTAAGACGAAGAGGCACCAACAACACCCACGAACTGTTTTGAATTCTATAAATAAGTAACGCAGTTCTCGATCAGATATCGAGATCTAAGCAAAATAAGCATGGGATGGAATTTTCCCTCAATTTCCAAAGCATCTTTTTGTTGTGCAAAGGCTAACTAGTTTTCTAGAAAAAAAATACTGCAAAACATCATAAAAAACAGTCTTCTCAAAAATAAATCCCTGATGATGTAAATTTCTGTATGTGATCAAAATCGAGGTCGGGGAGGGGGGGGGAAGGGGGAGGGGTAGCCATCAATACGTGATGATGAGAAAAAATAGCAATGAATCTTTATTTTCAGTCTAAAAGAGCAATGATAATAAAAGCAAAGAAAACGGAACAAGTTGTGACATGGGCACGCATGTGACTCACGCGATTTAACGCACTGATTGACAAGTATTTACAGTGTTTACCAAAACTTAGAAATTCGCACGAAATCAACAAATTTATCTGAATTCTCAGAGTCAACCCTTCGTTAAGAAATCTCTATAGAAATTATATTTATTTCTCTTTCAAAATGTTACGTTGCAATAAAGCAACGGAGGATGCCGTTTTAGCGAAAATACACACGTGCTTGCGTGTTGACGAGGCCTGAGTAAACTCATTGCCTCTAGAGTAGGAGGGCAACAACTCATTTGCGTTTTTTTTTTTTTTTGCATAATTTGTCATTCCTTCTGATATAACAGCTCGTTATCAAATGCCTTATATTGAATGTACCGCTATTGCGTAGAAGGCCAAATTGAAAAAATTCACTTGTTGGAAATATATTTATTTTTGAACAGTATTTCTCGAGTTATGTTTAGAAAACGCCAAAATTGGTTCCCGAGATTGGCACAAGTTCGGTAACCCGGGTTTGGTAAATTTCCATAAAAAGCCATTATGCGATTTCTCGACAGTAACAAAATCTTGGTTACCGCCTCTACTAACTTTTAAATTATGTTTAAATCCTATTTTAACTGCGTAACAGTAGTGGATCAAGAAGCAATCAATTTAAAACACGATAAATTTCTGCTTCGCTCTGCATTTCTGCAAGCTTGCACACCTCTTATTTGACCTCTTACCGCCCGGCTATTGTGACGCTGTATTTTAAATAGCTCCACGCGAATTTCATCACGTACGCAGTAAACTTAACTCTAACGAAATTAGTTTTACACGCATATCACATCAAATACCATACTAGGAAAGATCCTGGACTAACTGAAAACAAAATCGAAATTATTTTTGTAGTTTTATGAGCTGTCGTGTTGAATTTAATACATTATTCTGTGTGTAAGAAGTGTTCAAGAAAAACGACGTCATCACATGCTTGTGCTAACGCCTTTGGCCTCTAGTCTTTCGAATTGAAAAAAAGAAACGCGTGGTGCATTGTGCAAGTTTCTCCTCTTGCCTGGTTTATTTTGTATCATGACCACTCTCACCGGAAACAGACGTCAAACACACTGACATCTCTGTTGCGTCATTAATAAACTAATAAATTTAATTCTTTTCATAGCAGCCAGTGACGTGATTGGTGGAGAACAGAACCTCAAGTTGATTGTACTATTTCATAGAAGACGCAGCTTCAGCAGGGCTAGTGAAAACTGACCGTTTGAAATGGCCGAAGAGAACAGACTACAATCTTTTCGCAACATTGTGAATGACTACGTCGGTTACAGACTTCGACAGAAGAACATTTTCTTGCCAGGATATCATGAGAATTTGCCTCCATCGAAGGCAGCCCGTCATTTGCGACGGGTAGCAGACGAACTCATAGAAGAGAACAGCCAATTGTTTGATTCCATGTGCGACCAACTTCACCTCACTCATGCCACAACTTATCCTACCTTTGTGGGAATTGCGGATGAAATTTTCCAGAATGGTGAAAACTGGGGTCGCATAGTGGCGTTTCTGGCATTTGGGGCCACTTTAGCTGTACATTGTGCGCAAAAAGAGGATCTTGCTTCAAATATTGACAACATTGTCGACTGGGTCTCCGTGTACATGAACGAAAAACTTAGCCCATGGATCGACGACAACGGTGGATGGGTGAGTAATTTTGGATAGGAAAATTATCAGCGAAGATTTGTTTCGCAGAGAGTATTATAGATTTTAAAGAGAGGAATAAGGTTATACTTAGTATAGTAAACGTACTCAGTGGAGTATAAAAATCGCTGATTCACTCGTTATTGACACAAGACTGGTTTGATGAAGGGCGCGCTTTTATAAATAGTAAAATTGTAGAAAATATTTTTAAAAAATACAGGATTGCGTTGCTCTTTGAAGTAAATTATCAAAAAATATAGACAGTGACTTTGTCGACAAATCTAACAAGGTTGGAAAATTCTCGGGAGGGTTTCGTGAAAATTTCTTCTTAAATATTGTAAGCTTCTTACGGAAGGTAGCGGTTGAATCCCTCTCGATGGCCTTACTTCGAAATATTTTTTGCCCATTTAAGGGAAATTACAAAAATCCACAAATGTTCCTTTGCGCCAGAAAGTGAAATATTTCAGTTCTGTGTGAGATAAATTTAAAATCCTTATTTCTTCCTGCCCGTCAGTGTCGTTCGATCGTGTATTTTCAAGAATAGCTCTTACTTCCCGGGGGACTTTATTCCTCACTGGCAAGAGAAACTGTTTTCGTTTTTGTTGATGAAGAGGGTTGAATACGAAATATGCTATAAAAATAATGTGACTAGCTAGAGTTTTCGAAATACGTTGCTCAGTAATCTATATGTGGGGGCAGATCTTGGTTGTTCCAGTCGTTGAATTACCAATTCAATGTTTTGGAATACAGATTTGAATTAACAGATTGCCAGAATCATCTAGTCGGCGCCAAGATGTGTATCGGGGCCTCCAGCTAGTACTTAGACGTAAAAATGTTTGAAAAATTTCATTTGAAAGCGGCGGAAATCTCTCCATTTCCATATATGTAACATTTCTGGGGAGATATTCAATGCAGATTAAATACTCTCTTTTTTATCGCTTCCTTCCTTTTCCCCTCAATTACAATTCTCGGTGTCGTGGTAGGATTTAACGATGCTCTAGCAAGTTGATATGCGACAAGGTTACAGTTGGTTGGCTTCCAGCATTAACAACATTTTTTTGGTTCAAATTTTTTTCCTATGGGCGAGTCAATTCGACCATATTTCTGTAGTTTGAGTTGAAGGTTTTTAGCCACAACAGACCTCTGTACTACACTCAATATTTACCTAATGGAGAAAGCAGCTGCAGACGCTACATATAAAAATATAAGCAGCCATACTTAGTGCGACCATGCAGTTTTTATATTACAACTATATTGTTGAGATTCCATAGGTGGGAAAAGCCCTTCTTACAACTTAAAGATGTCTGTCTTGAAACCTCTTTTATGTGTCAAAATTTTTTCTCCTTTTGAACACTGATCTCATCAAAAGCATGATGTACATAGGATGTTATAATAAGCACTGCTATCTTAATGTAGTAGGAAAGTTGAATGCTCGGATGAACAGTTATGTTACTTTCGGTCATTATAACACTGTTCAGGAATGGTCTGCTCCTTTATGTTTGCCATAAATGTTGCCTAGTGACATTGTATGTGCTCTGGAGCACAACTAAATTGACTTATATCGTATTGTATGGTGAGAGCACTGCTATGTTCTTCAAGTCCTTTGTTGGATGGTCTCCTTAAACAGACACTTGAAATTATTTCCATTGTAAAAAATTCCAGGAATCTCCTATAAATAAATGGAATGGACTGGAAAGGTTCAGTTAAGCATGGAAAGAATATTTATAGCTCACCAGCAACTAAAAGTTTTTTTCCATTTTACTTTCATGGCTCGTATCTAGATACTTACCAGTGTAGAGAACAGGACAAACTACCATTGCAGGAGTGATTGGTTTTCCTATATGAGTGAAGTAACATGCTTCTGTTTTTGTTTTGTAGGATGGTTTCATTGCCTTCTTCAACAGAGATGACGAATCTCCAGGAGATGGGAATAAAGGCTGGCATGTCGCTGCTGTTGCTGGGCTTGGTTTGGGTGCCCTGCTCATGTTGGCATGCAGATGAAAGGCATTAAAATTGTTGAAACATAGTTACTGTAATGTTTTATAGACCAGTTTTATCTTTTTCTTCTCTGCTGGTATTTTATCTTGCTAGTTTTTTTAGTTTGGTTGGACTTTGTTAATAATACAGTGATTACATAATCTCTATGTTGTAAAAAGAAACTGGATGAAAGGTTAAGAAGGATCAAGAATGTTTTATCAAACATTTTGTAGCAGGAAGCAAAATCATCCAGAAGATAGAACTACCATTATTACTGTAGAAAGGGATTAACTTATGAAAAGGGAGGTGGTGTCAGTTGTGTGTATCTTTTAGATCAGTGAGCATGTTACATTTTTAGCTTGATATACAGGACTGTTGATTATCCAAGAGTGATGTATGTGAAATATATTTTCTAGCTCAAAACTGCAGATTACCTTGGGCATTAAAGCAGTCATTTGTAAAACCGATGCACAGACATCTTTGTATCTTCTGTGAAGAACTTATAATTATTATTATTTAAGTCAGTCTGTAATTAAAAGAATCTGTATGTGAATATACATGTACCAACACCGGATACTGCATATTTTGATTACATTCTATCTACAGTAACATGATACGATTACTTTTAGGTGATATAATGAAAAAGAATCTATTCCATGTTGATTTCAAAGTGTTCAAAATCCTAGAAGATATGTGTTCTCTATGTTTCTAATAGCGAATGGCAAAAGAAAAAAGAAGCAAAATAAAATTAAAAAAACTGTTAACAAGGTATTTACGGAAAGGAAGAATATTTCGATATGTTTCGAGTTCATACATGCAAGTGTGTTGTTAGTTGATACATATTTTACATCAACTATTTGATGCCTGGGTGTTGTGTAACTAAAGTAAAAAATATTGGTGTTTTAATTTGATTTGGAGAGCAGCTGTGAGGGTTATATATTTATATATAGATTTGTTTTGAAACTACTTCCAGAGATAAAGATTATCTTAGTTTTATTGCAGTGAAACCATAAGGGTTATTGAAGATACAGCTCTGTTAAGGTATTTAAAGTTTAAGAAATTAAAAGTTTCAAAACAACAGAAAGGAACGTAAAGGAAATTACTCTGATATGACAAAGCAACTTTCTCTCACTATGAAATTAGCCTGAATGGAAAAGAATAAATGAAGTAATAAAGTTGTGCCTGTCAAATATGTCTTTTGATTTCTTAATCTGGATTTACTAAGATAAATTACTGGAGGATGAAAAATAGATCTTTTGCCCCATTTGCATTTATTTTTAAGGTCTTGAATCTTTCACTAATGAATTGTTTTCCTCTTACTTTAGGGAAATTCATGGGGAGGCAACCTATCAAGGAGAGGTGTTTTGATAACAGACAGTATGGTGCCCCCATACAAAATTTAATTTGAAAAACAAACCCTTTCTTGTGATGAGTTATTTTTAGAATTTTTCAATTTTGTATGAATCAGCAGGTGTTTTTTAAGGGTTACATAAAATGTGACTTTCAGTCTCATCTTTTAAAAAAAATCAAAAGATTATCGAACAAATTTCCCCCAAATTCAGGAATCAATTAAAAAGAGGAATAGGTCAGTGTTCTGCTTTCTTCATTATTACACAAGACCGAAACTGAAAATCATCTCATTATTTTTCCTTAACACTTCTCTGGAATAGACATTCAAAACAATGTTTATTTTATCTAAGTTAAAAACGTCATTGTGTGGCAGTGCTTGATATATGAATTTATGCTTGGACATGCCTGTCTTTGTCAATGCCTTATATGTCATTAGCAGGAAGCCTAAGGATGTCACATTTTAAGTACTTTATTTCTGGCCACCTCAATGTAAGTTTATATCAACCACCTCCTCCTCCACCCCCTCAAGAAAATCCTATTGCTTAAGTTGAATCAGAAATTACTTTGCACTCTACCAGAAAGAACTACTAGAGAGAGTTAGTGCACTTGACATCAGAAACACCATGCAGCCATTTTACAACAAAAAAAAGGAGACAAAAAATTGAAATCATTAGGGTTTAACACTGTCCTAATCTTACTAACTTCCTCTGAGATGGCCAGTACTAATACCCAGTACAAGATTTTTTTTATACTTTTCAACTCTTAATTTGATGGTCTCTAAAAATTGCTCCTTAAAGATGCATTTTTCCCCTAAATTCCACAATAGTGGAAGCACCCAGGTCCCTGTACTGAAACAGAGAGATGGAGTACCACCCCCCCCTCTTTCTTTGCTTCCTTATGAAGTTGCCTTTTCCATTATCATCCTGAACAAACAGAACAAATTTGACAAATGCCTCTTCCATTTTTTCCTTGATGTTGTGCACAGTGAGTATATGTAAACACCCATATTTCAACTGCAAAATGGACCAGCACAACTTCCCTTTCCAATTCCTTTCCATAAATTCATTGATAATAAAAAGCTAAAGGAACCAGGTTTTAATTACCACCTAAACAACAATTGGGCTCTCTCCCTACTTATGTGTCCTTAAAATTTTCTGATCATGATAAAAAAAAAAGAGCTATTTCCTCTTAAAAATATCTTCAAAGAGCAACTCTGGAGAATGAGAATTCTACATTTGATCTTCCTTTTTAATTAAAAAATTAAAACTGAAGATTAAGTTCTTGCACTTGCTTTGCTTGTATTAAGTGGTTTTAACCAATGCCAGTCACCTGCAGTTCACTAGTTCTCTTAGGGCCTCTTGCTGCCATCTTTAAGGATTTAATCCAAAGTGGTCACAGCAGTCTATTTTACCATTTACTTCGCCAATTAATGAAAAAGTTACCGAAATCCATGGTCTACTTGATTTATGTGTTGCATCATGACCTACAAATTAATTGGAAAACGATGTTCTGGTATTTTCACTAGCTACTGTTTTTAAGGGATTATGAAGCAGAAATACCAGGTCAGTAGAAAATAAACCTGCCTTCCTTTGGGATTTAAGAATGGCCTGCCCAGACTATTACCCAAGCTTGCCCCTGCTGGGAAGTCTACTAGCTCAGGACAATCAGTTAGGTTTTTATCACCCTTGAGGTGCACCTAAATTGAGATGATCACAGATGACTGTTTCTCATGAACAAGATATCTCATGAAGCTGTTGGGGATCTGAGATAAACTAAAATACTCTTTTCTTCAACATGATGCTATTGTGCCTAAAGCTTTCAAATAACTCATGGTAATGATCTAAACAATGCTCTAACCCCATGATTACAAAATAATATGTACCTCTCAGCTGAACAAAAATAATCACTTTTATCTCCCCTATCTATTTGTAAAGGAAATATTCCACCCAAGCTCACTCATTTCATATTTTCACTCACGAACAAGTTAGATTGCAAAACTACATGTTTAATAGGTGTGTATGTATAAATGTAGCATATTTATGACTGGCCAAATGACTTCATATGCAACTGATCCAAAGCAACATAAATGTGTTTATCAATTGGAAGTGTGCTGAAGGTAGCTGCTTTTATGAGAACATAACTTTATTAATATCACCTTAAGCAAATTTACCAACTTAGAACTGCTCTTGCCTCACAACATAGTAATGTCACTTTTACCCAAAGTTTAGGATTTACCTTTCATCCTCACTGTTTGGGGAATCAAATGGATGCATTATTAATCAGCATTTTTAATCAGCATTTTTAAGTCCCACATGTTTTACTGAGGAAAATGATTGAATCAACCTTAATATAAATGTCTAAGCCTCCATACCTTTTCCCATTTCATGGTTGCAATAAGTAAGCCAACAATTATAGTAAGTAATATGTAATTTTTAGATATATGTAACCCCTGATGTAATACCTATCACAGTGACTGCAACAAAAGATTTTAAGGTATACACACTAGTGCCACTCAATACTAAAATCAAATCCTTAACAAAATCAAAAAGTTGTTTTCCTCTTTTGTCTATGGTTTATAAGACAAGCTTAATCACCTCCCACATAAAGAAAATCAAGAATGAAGACTTCCAATAAAAATTGAAACTGTCTAATTACCCTATTCAAATAGTCCATTTAGGACTTGTAAAGCTACTACAATCAAAATTTCATCCTCCAATATACTCACTAGTGACACAAACGGTTGTTCTGATTGTAAAATCCTACAGTTATAAATTAGTTCAGATGTGTACTTCATTTTCACAGAAAAATTTGATTGAGTGTATGACATCAACAAATCTCTAGTTTGTGTATGTTCACAACTTGTATATCTCTAGGAAGAAAACTAGAAACAGCATTGCACTCCTAAGAAATTTACCCTGATGTCTCTAAATGGCCTAGATTTAAGAGACATATATTTCATCAAAGCAACATCAACAATAAATGACAATGATGACAAGTTTTGATAAGGACTTTGGTTACATGAATTTGTTAAAAAATTATCTCACCATTGCCAAACCTTCCATACATGCATTTTTTAACAGCTTAGACATAAAGTAAATAAGTATACTTAGTACTATGATAATTAGGATGCTCTTTTCTTTGATAAATATGAATGGCTTTCATAAAATGGCTGGTTTTAATAGCTGGTACAGCTATATATACATGCATTCTATATCACCCCACCACAACATTACCTGTTAAAAAAAATAGCAGATTGTTGTGACAAGTTGAGAATGGTCGTCCAATATCTCACAAAATATTACTCTTTATATAATAATCTAAACTATCCAAATTCACACATTTTTATAAGTTCTCATCCCTATGATAAACGCGTTTCCAAAGACAACTCATTAATGATGTCATCATTGCCAAAACCTTGCCCTCTCTATTAATACATCTCAAAAAATTATACTCCATTTTGCTGTACCCCTCCTCGGTATTAATCAAAAGGAGACATCAAAGTATGGCAAGAACAATACAGAGGCATTCCCTTGTATTTTATTTCAACACTTTTGTCTAATGTCACCCTGACTTTTACTACTGAACAGCCACAGGCAAAGTGGATCACAATATTTACATAACAATTACATGGGAGCTTCAGAGTCCATTCATTAGATAATCCACCTTGGAATATCTTGGTCTGTGGAATGCAAACCACCAGGGACGACCGATCAAAACAACAGCAGCACAAAGGAACAAAAGACCAAATCCAAGAGCTATAACCAGGGATGGATATGTGGTGTGATTGTCACCATACAATTCTCTTTCCAATTTCTTTGGAAGGGATGTTCCTGACGCTAGAAAGAAACAAATAATTTCACAACCTTCATCCCAGAAGTGAAGATTATCACCATAATTTATCACCTTTTTTAGAAATTCAAATATTTCTTGATAAATTTAATCTCTATGCACTCTGTTCTCAACCTTTTGACCCCTAAGAGTGTTTAGTATCTAATTTCTCCTTACCATACAAGCCCTGGATCACACAGTAAGGTGTCTCGAGAATAAAGAAAAAGATCACCAACTACATGTAAAGGACTTTTGATAGTTAAACAAGTTCTCCTCATCACCATCTTGGGAAATGTATCAAGAAGTTATAAAATGGAGAATATGCATGTTTGGGTGTGAAGGGTTAAAGCTTTTATACTTAACTCCTTCTTCTAAACTCATTTTTGTTTCACAACTTGATTAAAAATTTTATGAAAACATACCCTGGTCATGTATATATTAGAGGGATACAACAAACATCATTTTGCTCTTAATTCTCAATACTTGCTTTCAACTCCATACATCTCAAAAACTCAAATTCTTGTTTTTATTTTCTTCACAGATTTGAGTTCTTGAGAGCCAATTGCATCCACTTATTTGTACAGTGATGAAACCTTCTTTCCAAGATTTCAAACCATTACCCTTATCAGGAAATTACCTTCAATTCCAACTTTCATTGTTACATTGAATGTTTCCTTCATTTCAGTACTATAAGCTGTGGTCTTTGGAAGAGGAGTTACAGATGTCTGGATAATAATAAAAAATATCAACAAATGTTTCTGAAGCACAAAAAATCCTTTCAGACTTAAAAGGAAGATTTAAAGAAATGTGTTGAACAATAACAGACTAGCATCATCAGCTTGATGTTCAATCTAAAAGAAGTACTTGAGTGGTTTAGAAAATAACAAAGATAGCAGTGGCTATCACTATACTCAGAAAATGAATTATGAAAGGGTGAGATGTCAAGGCTACTGATGTGTATTCACATTAAAGTTTTAGCTTTGATTAAGAAAGGTCATATTTCATTTTTGTGGTTCACACACAGAAGGCACAGGGAAATCTTCAAGTATGCTCAGCAAAATTGGTGCAATGGACATTGCTTCTCCTCTTAAGCAAGAGGTCACTGGATCAATACCAGGAGATAGCGTGATTTTTTAATTACCTTCTTCAAAAGCATAAAATAATTTAATTTTGCTTAAAGCACAACCATTGATTGTAATCAGCATTTAAGAACCCACAACCATAGCTCAAAGTGCAGCGTTTGTCTTTCCTTTCTTCAACAAAAATAAGGTGAAGGTTCAAGTGTACTTTTTGTGAGTCAAAAAGGTGTATATATGAGACCTTTACATTATAGAAATAATTTAAGGTTACTTCCCACCTTCGCAGGTGTCCTTTGGGGAAAAAAATTTGTATGCAGAAGAAAGCTTAATAACTGCAGATTATGATAAACATATAATTTAGGTGACTTTTCTTTTGAGCAAGAGTCAGGAGCCAGTAAAGCATGAAACAACCACAGGTTCTTCTATTGAATTTATTGGGTATTGGATGCCACAGCATGAGTAAAATGGCTGCAGAGTCTTATTCACAAGGCATCAATCGACAAAAGTGTGTCAAGCTTTTTTGATATTCTGATTGGTTGCCTAGATATTGGTGTCTAAAGTCGGAGTAGCTGAAAATATGCGAGGTGTGTTACATAAATGGACAACATGGGACAAATACTTCAAATATCTAAAATTTTCTGCCACACTTGAACGTTTTTCATTATTCTTGGAATGTTTTGGTGAAATTTATTTTCTTTACGAGCCATCTGAAGTTTTGCTCGAGTATCTATCTGCGAAGTGATGTGCCCGTTTTTGTTTCAGTATCTTCAAAGACCGCTCCTTCCACTATGATGTGTGTAACGTCTGTCTGGACAAACGGCTGGAGGGGAGACATTCTTGTTGAGAAAATTCAGGACATGATGGGTGCTGCATCTGCATCCATATACCCTATAAATTTGCTCTAAGTAGTTGTATTCCTTCCAAAATCAAATGCGAGATTTTAGCTCATAAAGGTTTGCAAACAATTCATGCCATGCCAGGAGATTATCTTGCCTCCTGAAACTGCAAACCAATGGGACAACCAGACCTTCTGGTGTCAATGACGATGAATCAAGATTTCCCAGGAAAAGTAACCCATTGCAGAAAGGTTTTTTTTTATCCCGATTGCTCAGAGGAGCATTGAGGAGGATGACGCAATAATAAGCAAAGTTACCAAAGGCAAAGACAAAACCTGCGGCCAAAGTGGAAAAACCACAAAATGTGCTGAGGAGCAAAACAACGAATTGACAGAAAGCATTCGAAATTAAGATTTGAGGTGATTGTTGATGTTTTTGTATCAAGGCTAGTACTTACATAAAGTACCAGCCTTGAAAATATTTTGTATGGCAAATTTTGGTTTAACAGCAACTTCTTTGTTTGAAATCTGGACACCAGTGTGGAGCTCTGCCAGTACTAGTCACTTCCACAAAGGAATTTTTCTTTTCTTGACAGAGTGGTACTCCTTTCCTTGGGTCTGTTTTTCTTTTCTTTCTTTTTTTTTTTTTTTATCAAGGACTTTCTTCCGTTTTTGATTTTCCCATAAGCAATCATCTTTCCATAACCAAAAAGCTTCTGCATGTGAATTTTGTAAAGTCCATGGTGTAAACAAAATATAGAAATAACATGAAAAACAAACCCCAAGATGAGCGGATACCCCAAAAATTCTCCCAGGTGACTTGCCAAGGTCCAAGATTATGACACCTTCCTCAATTATTAACTTTTATTTGAAAAGACATTTTTCTTAATATCTTGGGTTCCTTTAAAGATTTCAGAGATTTTTTTGGAAACATTAGGTTGAATGTTTGAATTCAGTTCAGTCAAATAAAAGAAAAATCATATTTTTCCACCTCTGAAGGTGGGAAGTAATCTTAAGTTATATGAGCTAGTCTGTGGATTTACTGAAAAAGTTAACAGAATTGGAAGGACAACATGATGGAGTAATGGATGAAAGTGAATTTTGAATCAAAACAACAACATACAAATGGCTTTCAGCCAATATCAAATAAAAAAAAATTGCATGATATCATAATAATCATTGTTAGGCTGCAATAGTCACCTTTACAGATGAAACATCAGCATGTGACTGATCAGTAGGTGCACTTATCACTTCAGAAGCTGGTTTTTCTGTGGACACATCTTTTAGTGCTTTTCCATCTGCTTGAAGTATAACTGCATTATCTGAAAGTCAGAAGAAACTCATATTCAAAACATTTTATGACAGTATTATTATTTAAAAAGGCAGTCTCTCTTCAAAGAGATTTTAATGCAAAAATACTTTCAGTCTAAGGCTTAAAAGGACTTTCAGTCCAACATCTCAAGTCTTTGATGACTCAAGATTTGAATCTTGAATTTTGCTTCAAAGGGTATTACAAGCTTCCTTCTATGCAATCTAGTCTGTGCAACTACTACTTTTGTTTTATTGATAATTATTATGAGTGGCATGATAAAACATCAATTTCATGCCACATATCATAATATGAATTTAAACAAATGGTTGCTGGTTTATCTTCACTTAAATCTACCTTATGTCCTTTTCCCAGTTTATTCTGTAGTCATATACTATTTATCATAATGTGCCACTGAACATTAGACATAGTGGGAACGAGCAACATATAACACTCAAGTCTTTCACTCTAAAGCAAAACATTTCAAATTACCCAAAATTTATTTTTTCACAGTGTTGCTAAGGTTACCAGGACTGTATCAATAAAACTTACTAATCATATCACCAATTACAAAGAATGCAAGCAGCCAAAGTTGATTGAACCAAGTATAATTGGATTGAAAACCATCAATGCAAAACAAACTTGAAAGGGAAAAGTTCCCTAGTTTTGCTTGCTTTGATTCTGTACAATGATTGGTTAATCAACTGTATTGTGTGATTTGATTGGTTAACTGTTTTCCAGTCAGGTAATTTTGTGTTAAAAACTGAGTTGAAAACATAAATTGGCCACTGTAAAGAGTAAAAAAGCTGACGTTTTTCCCAGTCACCTTGGTAACACCAGCTGTGCAGTAAAAATTTGTATATTTGTGCATTTTCTCTTCAAGCTCCTTGTTTTAATAAAAGTCTGACCAGTTGAACAAAAAACAACCATTGAACAACAATTCCCTACTACACATAATAATAATCAAATGATAGAAAATGGTTGCTTGAAAACAAAAGTAATTCAAATTTGATGTCAGAAAATAGTGTTAATTTCCTACAAAGCAAACAGGAGATCATGTGACAGGAAATTCAAAGAAAATTATATCAATTGAATTGGTTAAGAATTGTTTCATAGCATTGTAAGACGCAACAATTAATTGGACAATTCATTAATAAATTGGGTATAACTACGAATATAATCCCTTGTTTCAACTGTTATTACCACATCCTCCTTCCTTCTAGATCTTCATTTAAAGGGAATTTACTTTAATTTGTATCCCTCAAGTTACCACGGCCTGTTAACGCTTTGCTTGAATTGTTAACAGTAAGAATGATCTGAATATGTTTTGAAACGATACGACTAATATGACCGTGCAATGATGTATCAACCCCGTACCAATAATTAGCGACCAGAACATGGAACTAAATAACTGTAGATCCAAGAGCAGCAACATAATAAAACTATGAACTTGTTACGCTATCCCACCCTCGCATGTACTGTCCTGTGCATACGAAGAATTGGGTAATTCTACAGGCACCAGCTCATTTACCTTGTTGCAGATCTCGGATCCCAACCACAGATCCCTCCGCTTTATCGCTCACGTTAACAAAGGCCTTAGAGCACAACTCTTGAGGCCGACAGTTGAGGTAGAAACAGTTAAATTTTTTGTCCTCGCCAAGTGTTGGTGGTCGAGGGTAAAACAGGTAAACTGTGCAGTTATCATAACTGCAGCAACCTTGTTCACACTGTAAGGAAGAGTTCACGGTAGATCCCTTAGGGACAGTAACAATTCCGTTATCTTGCTTGGCGTTTTCCTTGGCCTGTGCGATATTGACCATTTCGCCAGGATATCGCTGCTCCATTCGACAAGAATCTCCTTCTGCATTAGTACCCACCACCAGTGCAGCAACCAAGTATATAATTAAAAGAGCCACTTCGTATCGTTTCTGTCGCTCCATCGTGGATTGGGATGTAAAAACCTCACAAAAAGGCAGAAAATTACAATCTAACCAGCCCCCATTATGCGAAACAAAACACGTAGCGTCCTCTTAGGTGTGGTCACGTGCCTTATTTTAGTGACTCTTATTTGAAGTGAAAAGGCTACTGCTGTGCAAGAGGTGTTTTTCGTTAATATCGAAATCGGACCAAAAGCGGAAGGTGCGAAGGCCTGACCTTTATTCTGATTTCTTTCCAGTACGTTACAGCCTTGAAAGTGTCGTGGGGTAGATATTAATTACCAGCAGTAGTTGAATTTACAAAAAAAATTGAGGAAAATGGACAGCGATGGTTTACCTATTGTAGGACCAAATGTCGATTACACCAAGGTACGTTCCTGTGTAAAAATTATTAGCTCATGCATTCTTATACTTTAAAATCAATAACTGTACTTTTCCGTGTGGTACATAGGATTTTTTGGTAGTTGAAAAAATAAAACGTCCATTAAGAAAATGCTTTAATCTGGTCGTGTTCGGAAATGGCATTTTCTTGCTCAGGGGCATAAATTAATTTCCAGTGTGGGTAACCGGAGTGTATACAGATCGTCTGCACAACAGAGTAGGGCAGAAAATGAATTGACAGAAATCAGTGAAGCTAAGCCTGTGCTTCCTTGTCTCTTGTTCTGGTACAACTTGTTTGGGCTTTGCCATAATCATTATATGATTCAAATGGTAAAATATTTTAAATGAAATGTGCGTAGTCCTGTTCAAATGTGAAATTGAATGAGTTATGTTTATTTGGTTCACAGGTTGGGCCAATAAACCACAAGAGAACTCTAGCATTCCTCAATCATTTTATTACTCATTCTGTTAGATTCCTGAACAGATTTTCATGTGTTTGTGAAGAGGTGAGTATCTATCACAAAAGTGAGTAATTAACTTTGTTGCAAAAATGTCTTCAAGCACAGGACCAAGGAAAAGGGTGTCTTTCTCCCTGAATAGGGGTGTCCCTTCAAAATAGGTGACGGATATAAGGATTATATGAACTTTTTTTCGGGACAAAAGTTTGTCTCCCCTGAATGGAGGTGTCCCCTGAATGGAAGTGTCTGAAGGGAGAGGTTCCACTGTATAAAGCAAGAACTGATTAAGAAATGGTGATTATAACTTAAGCAACTGAGAATATCAAATAATTGTTTTTACCTCATGTTTTTTAATTACAGAAATTAGCAGATTTATCCAATAAGATCCAGAGAATTGAAATAATGATGAGCATTTTAGAAGCCAAGGTAGGACTCATTGCTGCATTTGCAATATTCGAAAAGTAGGAATTTAAAGTAGAGGTGTTATAAAATGTTCAAAGCCTTGGAGAATCTTCAGGTCTTAGAAAAAAATTACTGGAATCCAATATGGACATAACTTGCCGACAAAATTTTGTCTCTAGGCTTATTATTTCAGTTTACCTAATAAATAAGTAGGAAGTACTCCTTCCTTTCCCTCGAAAAAGTTGCTTTGTTGTGTGTGTTACATCCGTATACTCAAGAAGGATCCTCACAAATTTTATGTATCATCTTTTATATTTTATGCTTTATATTTATCTAATTTTCATACAGATATTTTTGTTTTGTTGCCAAGTGTTTTATACATGAGCCTTGTTGCTTAGAATATTGGCCAACCACTTCCCATGTCCTTGACAATAAATAAATTATTGCATTACATTATGATCAAACCATGTTTTTTTTTACGAAAATACCAACCAAAAGCAACTTTGAAAAAGAGAAGTGGGTTAGGAAAGGTTTTATGCATACATTTGGAGTCAAAATAATTTTCCTTTTGGTGTACAGTAGTTTCCCAGAGAGTTTTGTCTACAAGTGAATCTCTTTTAAATCATTGATCTTAACTGATTGGTTTTATTCTCAACAACTGGTCATGATGAGAAATAATTACATATCAATTTATCTTTTTCATTTGCAATGTAGTTAGCATCTATCCCAGGCCTTGAGGATGTAACAGTGTCAACACCTGCGCCAAGTCAGCCTGACCAGGAAGCACCCGCTCCTGCTCCTGCTCCAGGCATGGCTCCTCCTCCAGCTCCTGGTGCACCACAACCATCAGCAGAAGTATGTTAACCTTTTACACCCTAGAATCAGTATGCATTCTCTCCATATAGTTCTCTATACATTTCCTAAGGTACTGACAAGGAGAATTTGTTTAACAATCAAGAGCTTCTTGAGTTGGTGTTCATTTCCTATATTCTCCTGACCTTAATGTGTGATTGTGGGTTGTTATTATTAGAAGAAATTACTTGTCAGTCAGTCTTAGAGGTCAAAGGGTTGAGTTAACAAATAATAACAGCGTAATAGTGTAGCCTTAATAATTAATAGTGGGATCTTGGTAGTGAAAGGGTTAAATGATACCCATACCTCAAACTTTTTAAGATATACCAGTAAGTCCCCCTTCTTATAATGAGGACTTTAAGAAAACCACAATGGCAACAGCAGTGAGAATGTAGCAAAATAAAAGCTATCTGCAGAACAGTAGCAAAACATGTACATTTTAAATTTTTGTACATTTCTTAGCTGTCCCATACAAATCTAAAACATTAAATTGCTAACTTTTACGTCCTCTTAGCAAGGAAACCTCAACAGCAATTTGGTCATATTTTTACCTTGAACTCAACACTACATTCACATGTTATGCCAAAGTGAAGATGTTGTACTGTCAGAAACATTGAACGTATCTAGTTATTGGTGAAAATCTTAGAGGAAAATAAATTACATTTTTTCAGCAATGTTTTATCACAGGTCACCATAGTGACATCTTAAACTCCCTATTTATGCATCGGAATGCATGAGACTCCTCATTATAATGCCCAGGTTCAAGTCCTGGTGGAGTCACAATCTTGTGTACTTTGGAAAATATTTTACTTGTGCTACCCAAAAGAACAAGTTTGTGTAGCTAAAGCAACTTTCTCCCCCAAGAGAAACTTTCTCTTGAGGAGAAGCCTTGCATGACATCCCAAAGAATGGCTAGGAAGCAGACTTAAGCCTTTAACTCCCAGAAGTGATTAACATAAAACTTCTCCCTACAATATCCATACATTCTTCAGCAAACAGGTAATGAGAATATTCAAACTTACCAGGTAGAATCTGCTATCTTGATCTAGCACCAAGTTCTCATAACTAATTTACAAGGAAATGTGTAACAGCTACAGGGGAGAATTAACAATCAGATCTTGGGAGTTAAAGGGTTAAGGAACAGAGGATTAGCCCTGTGATGGACTGGAGGGCCATGTAGGGGGGGAGGTGAGGGGTGCTAATATTGATGGTGAGGTAATGCAATAAAAGCATGAAAACCTGGATGGCCCTTTTGGCCATTGAGTTGGCTTGACCAAGTTATCTTGATTATCCACACAGGCATCCCATCCACCCACCACAGAAGAACCAGGTAGGAATCAAAATATTGGCAACTTAGTTGGAGTATTTTTTGCTAAAAATTGTAAAACAAGAACTTTTAAATAGTTTATGATGTTTATCAATATCATGATAATTAATTGTGCTGCTGTAAAAACAATGTGATAATTGCAAACTCTCAGTAGGGGAACACTGATATATTTCTAAGTTTTCTTTCTAAGGTGGTCAGGATGGGTTCATCTTCTGTATTAGAGAAATAGATTTGTCATAGTTTGATAATTCTTGAGATGTCAATAGCTAATAGACTTAGCATTTATGATTTAAAAAGAAATGTCCTGGTCCCTTTATCAGAATAGAAGGTTGGTCTCCTAATCTCAGCCAAATGGAGCTTGCACCAACCATTGAAACTATCCCCAAGTGTTATTCTCTGTTCAGCTAGCTCAATTCACTTACTACTTGTTTTATCCTTTTTTAATTTTCTATGAAATTTACTGATCAGCTCCAGAACCAGAGAAACCAGGTAGGCTCAGCAACGGATACAATTGCCATACTGTCAATTTACTTAAAAGAAAGGAAAGTGTACATTACAATTAGGCACTTTGCCTTAGAAAAAACTGGAAAAACTTTATTCAAAATCCAATTTAACTAACTATAGACTGCTAAATTCAACACTTTTCAGGCTCAGCTGGACTGTATATAATATGCTTGACAAAGGGCTTATGCTCAAAACTTCTGTCAGTGTTAGAACCCCTAAAATTGTGAGGTGTCCTTGTTAAAAGATAACTTGGCATAAGGGATAAGCAACTCAGAACATTGTGACATGGTGCTTTTATGTGTCAACCACACAAATAAGTCTTTTTGATGTCACCAAAAAAAATGTTGAGGAAAACAACTAGTAGATCATTTATCTTTTCTTTTTTTTCTGTTTTTTTAGCAATGACTGTTTCCAAAGATCCTAGATATGCTAAATACTTTCAGATGGTTAAAGTGGTGAGTATTTTTCCATAATTAAAGGCAAAGGCAAAATTAGAGGAAGAAAATAAAATGCAGATGTTATGATAATTCTTACTGCGACTTGCTACTTTTGACACATTCTAAAGACTGTATATAGTAGGTGCTTCTCTTTCAAATATACCCCTAATTTGGGACTCAGTAAACAATTAACACTTTGATTTGATGCTGACACCTCAATTGTGTACTGACAAATTACATGAAAGTTCAGGACACAGAAGCAAACCCCAAAATCATGTACAAATGGCAGTTACTGTAGGGGATTTAGTTTTGTAAGAGCATGATTGGCATTTTCCTTGAAATGCATCAACACTCCATCAATATTTCTCATGTGAACAGTTCTCTTAAGTTTCAAAGTGAAATGGAGAGGATTCAAATAGAAATCTTAACCTGCTTTTTTATTCCTGTCTCAAATTGTCCCAAGGTTCCATCAGGCTTGTTTAATTCTCTTGATTAAGAGGGTGTAAATTCAGTATAAACTTGTGGGGGCACTTTTTCATTTTTTAGGGTGTCCCACTGATGGCAATTGCACCCAAAATGCGAGCAGAGGGCCTTGACCCAAGTATGCTGGAGTAAGTACCATGAAAATCTTCCTTTTATTGTCCTGTCAGCCAGTTTTCAAAGTTTTTTTTTATTTTTGATTATTAACCATCACAAGCATTTCATACACACAAATGATTTACATGTTCTCCATACA